TATATATATATATGGGAAATGGAATTCAACAGAACTATCGATTAAACATCTCAAGACTCACTCACTTCCGATGACAAGCACAACATCTTCAGCTACAAGCAATGAAGAGTTCTTTTTTTCGAGCACGAACGTCTTCTTCCTTAACTTGCTCACTTTCCACCTTCAAGTTTTTCACAAAAAATCTATTATTGACGATCGATTGGAGATTTAAGAAGTTTTCAAGTGCTCAATAACGACAAAAAGCTGCCGTCGACATGAACGACATCAACCCAACGTACTGCATTCCCCACTATGAACCGAACCATTTTCAAAACTTAAACTCAATATTGATTTCTCATTAAAAAATCCGCCGACCTATTTATCAACTCAACATTTTACTATTGGTCATTTCTGCTGGCTTCAATTGAACTGATGATATAAATAGAGGAAAAAAAGAACGGCTCTTCCAAAGCAACTCTTAACTAAATGTTCACGAATGCAAACGCCTATCCACACAAAAACTATCACTCAAACATCCGATCAATATGGAACTATTGATCGAAGCAAATGTAATAATTTCATAAGTAATTCAGATTCTTTTGCTTACGTAAATGTGCAATCCACTAAATGCTACGAATGCAAACACAATGCCAGAAACAATGACAGAATCTAAAAACAGGTGTTAGTCAACTGTAGTTTGCAACGAACTTGATGTCGTACAATAGAAAGTTATGGACAAACTCGATAAGAAGCGACCACTTGCAATTACACCAGAGAAATTTTGCACGAAGAATCATCACAATGGAGCATAGTGATCTTATTTCAACGTCAAATAATTCTTGAAATCAAAACTTACCAATCTTATTGTGGCGCTTCTAATCTATTGTGCAAATTTTTATGATCAACTACTATGAGATTAAAGTGAGGTGTACCGAACAGCCACACTCCCGATTATGATGTGTGCTTATTATACCTGGATCCTCGTGAAAGCATTGAATAACAAACTGAAAGTTCTTGGTGAAATTTTGGTAAATAGTTGGAGAGATAAGAAAAGAAACAATATATGGAGCAATCAGTGAAGTGCTGAGGAAGCAACGACAATCACATAACAAAGAACGCATGAAGACAGGATGAAGCTGGTTGGGCACATTTTGAGGCGTGATGACAATAAAAGAGCGAAATTATCGCTTCTGCATAAACTGGAAACAGTCAAGAGATAGGCGATTAATTTGATGAAAGCAAATCAGAGTTGATAAAATCAGTTTATGCTTGCAGCACCAACACCACTTGAATTAATCTCTGAGTATAATTGCTGACAACAGAAATCAATGGCGGAATATAGAGGACGCACATCAAAGAAATCGCTTCAGTTGCACTCTACAGTGACTTCTAATTATATGAGGAAGCTATATTTTTATATATGTGAAAGAGGGTAAGTCAAGTGTATGAATCGATTTATAAAAGTTCATCTCACCGTTAAACAGTTAGAATAAAAGTAAATGATTTTATTATTAAACGTAACAACAACAACAACAATAACAATATCAACAACGTCAAGTAATGAATGCATCAAAGTGATTTTAAAACAATGAAAATGATGAATGAATGTAAAATGTGTGCTTACTTTCAGGTAGGAACTGATATCGAATACGAAATCCAGAGAAGTGGTTGGCGTGTGAGGAGTGAAAGCGAATGGAAAGAGCACTTTGCATAGTGTGAATGGGATCTGGAAGTGTTGAACCACAAAGGCGTTCACCAACATGCTGTCTGCCCTGACGGTCGCTTACCGTCACAACCACATAATCGTTAAGGCATTGTTTTGAGCGCGGCATATGCGCTTCCAGATGAAAATGGGTGAATGATATATGGATTACAAGGCCAGCAGCCGTAGTTAAATTGAAGATACAATCCTGATCGGGAGGATACGGCAATGGGTAGTTGGGAGAGGTAATAAAGCCATCTGATGCTTGTGAGCCAAAGATTTCACGCCTCTCACATGCAAAACCCGACGAACGAACCGAGAATAACACCAGCAACAACAACAACATTCATTCATTTATCGATAATCCTAATTGTCCATTCGGTTCACGCTTACAGATCGAACGAATATCAAACGAAGAAAACGCCCACAATGACTTCGAATCGAATCCTTCTTCAGGTCTCAATTTTGGCCATAACGTTTCACCCGGAACGCACCTAACGATGGTTCAGAGAGCACTCTTGGTGTACACAGCAGCAACGATCGGCCGGGAACGAGCCAACGCGCCGTCATACATCGATCGGGCCTTTGCATGCCAAGCACGGCCCCCGTGGCCCCGGCCACCAGCAACACCGTACGTTTCTGCAATCATTACGAATAATCAATGCTTGTCGCACACTCTCTCCACTGCTTTCTGCTTACACACTCTATGCAGTCATATTATAGCTGCACTTATTCCTTATTCATTTACTGCGCATCACACATCCGAAGCACCTCTTCATCATCAATTCTCTATTCATCCCTAGTTTTCATGCTCCTTAGTGTTGATGCGTTCACTTCAAACTGACCAATTATACTCACCCGAACTGACAGCTGAACACGTAAATAGATTAGATACCACTAGAACGAATATAATAGAACAATTACAACAGTAACATGATGATTATATTTCCGCTAAGGGGAAAAAGTGATCAATGGACGATAAAAGTTCGCATTCAAACAATTATTGGTATCAACTGGTTCAGAAAAGGTATCAACAACTGATTCGGAAGGTGGAAATGCACTAAAAATGCCACTAAGAATAACTCAGCTTTATGAAATGTAAGAGAACAAGTCTTTTCTACTGATTATCGAAGAAAGAATAAAAATTTGAATGACTTAAATAATAAATGAATAATCCGAGAAATAACAGAAGAAACAATGCAACGAAATTTTCATCAAGCAATCAATCGCTCACTTCGAGCCACTGCATGATAAAAATTCAAGAAAAGAAAACGAAGACACACACCCTTTTACGAGCATCAATAATGCGCAAAGTACCCTTCGAACCGACCACGATCGTACCGTTGGGATGTGTCTCGATGTCCATCACGAACTCATCATTCCTTAACGACAATTGCTCCTTTGAAATCGCCTTCCCGCTCAACGCATTATCAACTAACGAATATTCAAGCAGTGTTCGTTCGTGGTTTGCACATAATATAAACAATGCTGTATCATTCATAAAGCGTACATCCATTATAACATTTGCTAATTCTACATTCAGTTTTCGTACACTCTGAAATTTACTGCATTAATTCCACTGCCAATATAGTCGTTTCCATTAATATTATTATTATTATCAATTTAATATTATATTATCAATATTATTGCTATTATTATTAATGATAACAATATTGTTATTAATTATTGTTATTGAATATTATAAATTATTATTAAATATTATTATTTATTATTAATTACTATTTCTATTATTGTCATTAGCATGAATATGATTAAGATGAGAATCAGGAATTCTATTATCATAATCCACTGATGCGATTTACAAATGGAAAACTTCTATCTTATTGTTTTGGAAAACTTCTACCTTATGTTTTTTAATGAGTAAGACTACGAAATGGAAATCGCAATGACAGAAGTTATTATCAAGAAGGTGATCGCTACTGATTGAATCAATCACACAATTCCAAAGACCCTGATGCATCTAATCAAAATTATGGCATAAGCTGGGTGAAATATGAGTTGGTTCAGAGAAACAGAAATGAGCAAGTGAATTACCCTTGTCATTAAATCAGCAATATAAATGTCATTACGAGTTGTTAGGGCGACAACTTTTAACGCATCATGACTGCAATGTAATCGTATCACCTCACCAGCATCATCTGAATGATATTCACGAATGCGTAAAACTCAGCTGGATTTATGAGTAAATTGAAATAAACTACTTGAATATTCAAATGCATTGCGAAACGTTCATCGACTAAATTAGTGCTCGAAAGCTAGCTAATGAGAAACGTGCAATAATCTATTCATTTGATTTGATTTGAGAATACACTCATTTACGGAGATTAAAAACCCATCCCGAAAATAACATATTTTGATAAGATGATAAATAAAAAGTGCCTAGAATCGTATTTGCAAACAAACAACACTATATGCTTGTTGTTCGTTGCACAATAGCAGTGATCAACAAAGTGAAATAAAAATAAGAAAGAACAAACGCTGAGGATTAAGGAATTCAACAAGACTGCAAGATGAGGTATCGTCTGGTTGACTGCTGCTGTTCATAGCGAACGAATGCAGAGTGAAGTTGCCACTGGCGATTATGAGTGTCCTCGAACAGAACACCACCGCTGAGGCATTCAAAGGGATTCGTTGAATTAAACGTAACTTCGGTGCATTCTTATCAGTCAGTCCATCCAACGAGTACAACACAACTGCGCTCAACTCTGCTAACGCCATCAAATGGCCATCCTCTGTTATTGCACTGTAAAAGTTCACATTATCTTACCATAACTTTACTTTGAAGTTTTAAATTAACAGTAGAGATTAACCTTGAGAAGAGGTATTCTTTTGGCGATAGGTTGAATTCGATAAGTTTTTCTGGATGTTTATTCATTGCAAAAAACTGTTGCTTGTCATTTTGTGTTGTTATTTTTTCAGCTACGGCCGTCCTCCATATCACAACACGATTGGAATACTCGTAAAGGAAGAGACTTGCAGAAGTTGCCATTTTACATGGAATCTGACAATAAATTATTATGACTGTCCAAAGACAGAGGGTCGAAGAGGAATAATTCTAGTGATGGATAACCGTGTAACATAAGCATAAACATTTACAAAAAAATAAAACAAAATTCAAATTCACATTTCGAATTTTGATTTTCAAACACTCCAGATTTGTCAAATGAACGCAATTGAATACTCAAGAGAAAGGTGAGAAACGAAATGAAGGCAGCAACCAATTTGAGTGCGTTGTGATGCTTGTTCTTAGTGCTGTATATGAAATGATGCTCTGCACCACCAGATATTAAAGCCAGACGAGAAGCGATTAACGCACGTACGTCATTGTTGTGTAGAAGACGACGATGCTCAACACGCCAACAAGTTCGATCCTGGAACATTGTATTTTTGAAATTAATCCTATGAATATCATAGAACAAGATGATTGGATCGTTTTCGAGAAGAACCAAATGAAATAATGCGAAGACTAGAGTGAGCATTAATGTTCACATTATCAAAATTTTAACTGATTCAAGTAAAAAAGCGCACAAAAAAATTTTCGAGTATGAAAGAAAGATAATCAGGCGCAATCAAAAAAAAATTGTTACTGACATACAACTGAACTTTGACCTTCGAAAAGACAAATTCGAGTTTCTTCCGAAAAAAAAACAGCACAAGCACAAAAACGAATAACCTTGTTATGATTGAGCCGTGCAATTGACGGGTCAACACCAGACGCGTAAAGAGCATTTTGCACAACGCACAGCGATAGCACATCTGCTTGATGCGTTTGCACTGTCTGTAAAGTTGTAATTTTAAGTTCATTTCACGAAGTAAACCAATCGCTTGTAATATTCTCAATAAAAAAATCATAAGAGTTGAAGCAACAGCTCAGTCTTCCAATTACTCCATATATGATTTCAATTTTACATGTGCATTGCTACTGAAACAAAGTCTGTGGAATTGAATCCACAAAATTCCTTGTAAAGAATCTATGAATTTGATGACGTCAGAAATACAAGCGAATGTAATCATAGAATCAACCTAAAAATGTCATCAATCTGTTTGATAATGAAGTAATCACCTGAACAAGAGCACCGTTGTTGATATTCCAAATGCAAACACAACCCCTTGAATCACCAGAGGCCAGTACTCCTTCACTGAAATAAACTTTCAAATTATATTCAAAGAAAACGAACCATTTCAAAACGTACAGCTAATGCGGAAAAGTACCAAAAAAAACTAGGTCGGCATCAAATTGGTGAAGAAATGACATGAGAATAAGTAACAACATAAGATTCGAGCTAGCTGAAAATATTAAATAGAAGATTTATTAGCAGTATATAAAAATGAAAGAATGAATGAAGATGAGAAATATTAGAAATAATTCACTAACATAAATATCAAACACCATACAACAGTTGGTTTTCGTTTTTGGTCACGTGCTAATCGTAGAGTATTTCGAATAGAAGCATTTGTAACATCAATTAAATAAATCACATCAAGAGAACCAGCGGCCATAATCACTCCATTCGATGTTAACGACAGAACACGACTACCGAAGCCTTTAGTTGATATCATTGTTAGATTTACGATTAATTTATTACGAAAACTATTTCTATCACAATAGCTTTTTGGGCATGAAACAAATGTGATGTAATCATTTCTTCTGCCCACCGTTGCACATTCACAATCAACAACAAGAACCCACCAATATTTACTGTTTTGATGACGTTAACCTGATTTTCACACAGTTCTAACAGAAGTACTGTACCCGAATCTGTTCCAGCACAGAATCGACGAGCTTTAATCGCTGCCAGACACCAAACTGGCGTTGCGCAAACTTGACTCGTCTACAATTCGAATTATTCGTTTCAATTTAACACTACCGAAAAGTTTCTTGTGAAAAAAATCCTTGTCCCTAACCATCATAGCTGGAGAATCTCTATGTCAGTATTACAATGAAGCATCTTAGAGCCGAACAATACACGTAGTCTAACAAAATCACTTGTTGAATGAAGAAAATAAAACAGAATGTATCTTTTTCGAACAGACTTTGCTTGTTGAATACAGTTTATAATTTCCGTTAACGTTAGCTTAGGCGATGAAAACGGATTGCTGCAAATTCTAGGAAACGAACAAGGAAGAGGACTAACCTCATAACTACGACAATGTGCATGATGTACGGTTATTGAACCATTCATATGCGCAGCCAAAAGACTATCCGAATCATCGATCCACAATAGCGCTTGTGCACCGAGATTTCCTAATGGAATTGTTTTCAAAAGAAAAATCAGTTCCCCAATAACATTCCACAATTCAATAACGGATTCATGCGGGGCTGCATCCAATCTGAACACATCACATTTCTAACTGCACTAGCAATGATAACGACAACAATTAAGCTAACTAGAATGATCATAAAGCACTTTATAACGATAATATTTCTCTAAATAACACTGATACAATCAATTTGTAATCAGTGCCACAGCACGAATACACAACGTTGATCATTCCCGTAGTGAAAGAGAATAAAATTTACCCGCCACTATCAATACGACGTGCAACTGCAAGTACACCTTGCTTGTTATTCAGTGCAAATCCGTCGACAGTTAGCGCTTCGTCCTCGAATAACGCATTCCGATGTATCATTAATTCACCCATCGTTCCAGTACTTGTCGTGTCAATAACCATTTATTAGCTCGTTTCTAAGCGTTGTCCAATGCACTGATTTGGTTATTCGTAAAATAGATCAGCCAAAAGTTTACTGAACTCACTTCATTCAGCCTTCTGAAACTTTCTTTAGTTGACGGCATTTATCCACGTTTGAAGGTTTCGAACTCTATCTTGGCTATGAAACTTCAAGAGATACAATCGTCCTGTCTGAACTACGGTCTCGAAGTCATAAAATCCCCTGATCAAGTGGAATATGACAGTAAATAATTAGTTCAACCAGTCAGAAAACCAATCAGCAAGCTCCTAACGTTCGTTGATTTTGCAACGACTTCAATCGTCAAACTAAATCCAGAGATTTGCAATGAAATCGCGATGAACAATATCATAGAATATGTGAAGTGAACGACTGGAACGTTTTTTTCTTGGTGCAGACTGACTGAAGTAATCTGGATGCAAAATAACGCAATAAAATATTTTTACTGGTGTTAAAAAGTAAAACACGAATATTTTAAAACGAACTGTAGCAGCAATTAGTAGCATCAGTGAAATATCAATAAAAATGAGATTTAACGAATGCATGCGACAAAACAGATGTTAATGCAGCCAAACCATAAATGAACTCAGAAATACGAATGAGTAAACGGATCGAAATTTAATCGGACTGCAAAAAAGAAAAACGTTTAAAAGCATACACACATGTCCCGAATTCAATTCTCAAGCGATCAATCAATCGAACGAATCAAAAAAAATCAAATAAATAAGAACAATGAGGAAAACAGGGCCGTATTTTGTGCTTTCTACTAAAAAGGCATGGTGAAATTGTGAAGGTGGCCTAGACTTATTGTGAAACTGGAACAAACGGAACATTTATAGAAAATGATCAGATCATCGAACGGATTAAAATTTGTATTACTTCAATAAGATTCAATTTAAAGACGCACGAATACAACACAACATATTCGAGAACCCGCGATGCGAGCAATAAGTGAAATGTGTCATAAATTAGCAACGAAAATAAACTCAGTACACAAGAGACAAGTATTCTTCGATTCGTCCACTTCTCCCAATTCCGATAGGATACACCTAATTCATCACCCGGAAGCACATTTTGATGAATCAATAGTACAAAAGTTCAGTCATAAATGGAGAAAATGAGAACGGAATAGGAACAGAACAAATGAGCAGACTCTTCACCAGTTGCAATTCGACATGGAAGAGATGAATCGCTGCAACGAGTCAACAAATATAATAACTGCTGCAAATGTTCACCCGAAAACGAATTAATGAAAATCAGAATTCATCATAGCGAGGTGAATGAATGAAGAACGTACATAATTCATTGACAATGTCAAAAATGATACATAAACATGAAACATTAAATCACAGCGATACGATAATAACCTAAAAAGAAACGCAGCAGAATAAAATGAATAAAAACAAAATCATATTGCGTTGAAAATTATCAACAAATAAAACGCATGAGCTGATGAGTAAATGTCCACAATGAAAAGGAAGACGGCGAAAGTGTTTCACTGTCATACAAAAACATAGGATGAGAAATGAAATAAGAGCAGAGTTATTTCTGAGAAAGATCTCCATCACAATAAACAGTTTATTTCATAGATCTGTATCAAACCACGATGGATTACTGGGGTTGCTCGCTTGGTATGGTGGTGGTTGCCATGGTGCGTGTTGATCCATTCGATCCACTCCTGGTGACTGATACATTTCGGCGAATAGCTCAGGCTCTAGGCCATCATGCATCCAGTCTTCACCCATACCACCACCACCACCACTAATCGCACTTTCAATTTCGGTTTCCAGCTCCTCTCGGTATACCATTGGTTTATCGAATTGTAAATTCTTCAACACTCCCGATGCGTATGTTGCTGAAACACAAACTTACCATCAACAGAGAACGATTGTTCATTCTTCAATCAATCCATCCTATTAAGAACTTGTTCATCTAAACGAACACTGCTTTTTCACCATTACATAAAATACGTACAAATAGCTTTATGCTTTGAATGCAGTGCATCGGCAAGTACTGGTGTTGGACCATACATATCCAACTGTCGAGCGCCTTCGGGTGTTTTTGACAGCTGATAAAGTAAACCAAGTAGTTCACGTTGCAACAGTTCATCGTCGTTTGCGTAAACCTCTTCCCATGATAGTAACTAAAAATCTAAGTTTCTCAACAATTCATCACAAAAACCCTTAATTTCAACAATAATTACTCACGTCACACACTTTTAGCAAATGGGAATTCACCTACAGCTTCAAACAACCAAAGTATCGAATGAAAAAAGAAGGTAGGATCATTATCACACCTACAGAGAAGTCATCGGATAGTAGTCATTTGAGAGTACGCTCAAGACTCGATGTTCATCAAAAATTGGAATCAGATGTAGGTAGTCAATGATGTAAGAATACGATATTCATGATAAAGAAACGTGCGGATAACGCATGTACCTTGATGATCATATCGATGAATGGATGATCACGGAGCATTATCGCAGCTACTTGAGGATCATTTGCAAGTTGATGTAACGCAGAAACGGCACCTTCGACCAGTTCTCTCATCGCCACACCATCCGCAACTGCTTCTGGATCCTGTCGCAGTTGGGCACCGGCACGTGCCAGCACATCCATTGCCAATGAAACCACTGATTCACCTTTTGATGTGGTTTCCTTTAAGAATTTTATTTGTATCTTTTTGAGAAGTTGTTACTTCCTTTAAAATGTCATAATCATTCAGAACTGAACCTCATCCATACTCATATTCAAAGACAGTTTTGCAATAAATGAATTGTTTTACTAGTAAAGGATATGTGAGCACGCTTAAAGAACATATAAACATCTAGAATTGGCTTGATTCTTTCTTCTTAGAAAACTTTCAAAGGGCAAATAATAACAAATATCAGTGAGGCGACGGCTTCGTAAGTCTAGAAATTACGGAAGAATGATTCACAAATAACGAATTCTAAAATAATTTTTTACGCTTACGGTTGTATCGCTAAGCAATCAGTGATTTACATTAGAAGCCTATGATACTGAAAAGAGTGGGTGCAAAACTGATGAATGTGCTCAACAAATTCATGAATTTGTGCATCATCGGAGTTTGATGAGAATTTTATCGGAGCAGAGATATTCTCCTGTTAATGAGACAAACACCAGAGGAACAAAAAAGCGGCTTACATGAGCAAGCGATTGCAGATTGGCGGGTAGTAGTGCTAAATTACGAGCCAATCCAAGAGCAGCTTTCACGACCGGTGCACGCATAGTGCAAAGAAGTTCTAATATAACGGGTAGCGTGTGTGCAAGACGAACATCACTTTGAGCTTGTGCCGCTAATGAATGTCGTGCAGTACAGTGCCGCAGCGCGCACAATGACGGCTCGGTTACTTCCTCCACTGCACAATATCGTTCTAATGCACAACACAGCACTTCCATTCCTCTTCAATATTTTTCTTATTCTTTATCTAGATTACTTCCAGTACTTCTGGTATCATTATAACGATCATCAGGATGAGACTTTACAAAAAACTCATCCATTCATCTTAGAACAATCAACCGCCACAACGAGCGCATCATTAAACATGGTGTCAAAAGTATTCATAAAATTAGAATTTTCAAACTCATTTTAGCGCATCAGAATTACTACTCGCGAAAATTTATCATAAATCATTTTCAAAATATCAACTAATATTTCTAAACTGGAGAGATGATTCGTTTTTGGAACAAATTGAAATTCGTATCTCATTATTTTTAGCGAGACGTGACGTGACGATTTATGATAATGACAAGTTCGTTTAGATGAGGTACTTGTTAAACTGTCGTATCGTTAGTGCGTAGAGTAGAACCGAAGCAAAGAATGAGATGATGCATGAATACTACCAACCGGTTAGAACATAAAGTTTGTTTGTTTCGAACATTATTGCACGTCAGATTTGATAAAACGCCAGCTGCACACGCTGTTGAAGCTTCTTCTCCAGTCGTTATCACGCCAATAAGTCGCACAATTAATGGACCCAAATTGTCTTCGTTCGTCGCCGCATCTGATAAATTTCGAACAGCGCACAAAACCGCAAATTGAGTTCGTTCATCAACGCCATCAATGAAATCACCCAACACCTGCAACGCCCCTGCAAATGCTCATGAATTTTATCCAGAATACAATCAAAAATTCTCGCACATCACTGAATTTCTCAATCGTCTTCACCGTTGAATGAGGCCAAAACGTCTGTCAGTATTTGCTCAAGAGCATTAACCGCTCAAACAAAAAATTTTAGGATATTGCCTATATGAGATTAATAAAAGACAAACCCAGCGAAATAAGTGCAGCTTTATTCTGAGGACACACTGATATGGCACGAATACAACGTACAACCGTATAAACGAGTTTCGGATAGTTACGATGTGAGTCAAGTAGACTGATGAGAAGTGACGGTCCACTTAATGAGAGGAATGAAAGTTTACTTTGCGGATGGTCTAATACCAGCAGATAGAGTGAATCGACCAGCAAAGCCAAGAAGCGTGCATTCTGGGCACTCAATAAGGGTGTCATTGCTTCTAAGCCACCACATGCACGTATTTCCTGCAAATTTCGCTTCCAGTTTACCTTCGTTCAAGTTGTAAGGAATAAACATGCTGTCTTCGTAACTTCGACAAAAAAACTTCTGCAACCGCTTAAGTGCTACGAAACGGTAATGTCAAACGCTTGCTACACGCTGTCCATATTAATGGAACCGTGTTACTTCGTTGCATATATCTTATCTAATCAAAACGGGATTTCAGTGTTAACTGATTACAGTAGAAAAGTTGTAAAATAAGCACACGCTTAAGATGAGAAACTGTGCAACTGATATGTACGAGCGTAAATATCGAAACTTGGAAATACAGACATGTTTACTAAGATGCTGAACACGATCTGCATAATCCATGATACAGTTACGAAAAAAATAATCTTTGAATTTCAATGAGACTAATCACATGAATCGTTCACTGACAACACTAACGTAATTCAGATTAACATCCGAAAATAATTGGCATTATAAGTAACTAAAAAGAAAACCAACCTGTTTGGCAGATTCCATATAGAGCAAAAGATTATGTAATGTGGTGATGGCATAATGACGAACTGCGTCCACTGGAATTCCAAGCATACGCACCAACTCAGGAATGCCACCCGAACGAAACAAATGCATACGTCCTTCAGCGTGCTCAGATATGTGCGACAGTGCTGCTAACGCATTACGGCGTATTGCTTCATTATCGAATCTAAACAATTAGTGCCTCGTTCGGAATCTTCGATTACTCGTCGTTGATTGTTCACGAGTGATATGAACAAGCGTTTCAAAACGAGTATGATAAGAAACGATATTGAAAACTCGATTTTGTTTCTGATCGTTACAACTAGAAATACAATGTTTGTCCATTTCATGAATTTGAAATGTTCATGGATGTGGGAAAGCTGGCAGATGATGACTTCAAAAAATATCCATGTTATGTAACATCATATTACATGAATCAGTAACAATCGCTCACAGTTAAGACTCAAGGAGACTCAACTGTGATTGAATAATACCATATTTTGATGAGCGGAGAATGAAGACTACTTGAGGAATAGAAGAATTAAACTGAAATGCAGAATAACTGAAATATACTAATTACCTCGTAACAGAACAGAGTGCTGCAATAAGAGTCGGATTTGTAGCAATTGCGGCTATGGATTTATTGTCTTTCGATAACAAGTGTACCATATGCGCTGCCCTCAAAACGACCGTCTGAACGAATACATACATATTGAATCGATCATAGAATCCAACAAAAATTTGAAAAAGCAACAATAACTTATGGTTTTAAAAACTCCATAGAGCGGGAGCGCATTAAGAGTCAAAAAGAAGTTAACATATTCATTCGAACTGTATCATGCGCAATACTTTTTCCTCATTTAATCTGAGGATAAAACATACTCAAACAGAATTTGAGTACCTTTTTACACGCCGTTCAGAAAATGCCATTTAACAGGCAGTGGATAGTACTGATAAGACAAGCACATGGTGTCTTTAAAGTACTGATGAGCTCACCTCGTCTTTATCAGAAAGTAGTTTGACAAGCTCGGGTATTGCTTTCGTAGTAATTTCGGATTCATCTTGTACACTCAGCAATTCAATTACTGCTGTTTTCAGAAGCTGACTTGGTTCGGCGAGCCTTTCGACGATACACGATCTGCTCTCGAACATTTCACTGGTTTGTTCTGTCTCATCGTACAACTCTGGAAACATTGCAGCCCTGATGCGAGCACTTCTTGACTGAACGTACGCATCACCCATTTCTGAAAATTTAAATCATTCATTGCTACCAATCCCACCAAGTTTCCGAGCATTCTCGGGTCATTCCAGAACTGCATCTATACGGTCAATGAACTCTTAAGACCACCCATCATGCCAGACACTACCCAACAACAAATACAGATCCCTCCAAAAACGAATGACGGATGACATGAGTTCTGAACAAGCACCCAAACCTTTCCGAATCGAAATCATAAACACGATATTTCTGTTTGTTCCACGCTTATTCAACAGCATTTTCGACCGTTTTGATTTCACTTACAGAGTATAACATGATGGTTGCGGTTTAAGTTCATCAATACAATAAAAATGATGAACAACGGTTCAATTCTCGAGCGATTGATAAATTATTTACTGGCAAGTAAATTCACTGCAACAAAAACTGAAGAACTTCAGGAATGAGCACAAACCCTTGAAACGGAAGAAAAGTGTATTCGCGTCACCATCATATAATGTGTTAGATTGAGATCCGAACGAGTTATAACTACCATTTTCGTCCAACGTGTCTGCCATTTCAGCTGCAACTTGACGGTCATTCAACAACGAAACCTTCATAAACAAGCGTTTCAGACTAAAAAATCAATATCTGCAAACTACGGCATGCCTTTCAATTGGAGTGAAAATATTGTATGATAATGTTAAAAGTAGGAGAATAATTCGATTTTGGTGTAAAGCTGCACATTGTATTGAGAGTAAAATTCCACGGTTTGGATTTTCTTTTGTTCATATTCAACGCCATGAACATATGAACAGGATGACTGGACAGTTCGCATGAGAACGACGTATTCGAAAGTATTTACGGAAGACATCAGACGAGTGCAAAAGAACGATAAGCGGCTAGGTTTTGTGACGGAATTTGTGATAGAATAACTGCTGAGAATATCGTGAAAGTATTCGCAAACATAAGCAGTTAGCATATCCGATAGTTCCAACGCACAACAACGCCTTTTTGTTAGGATGAAAACAAGTGGATGATGATAAGTGCATTGTTTTAAGTTGAAACTTTTCGAATATCAAGCTTACTGCCACAAACAGTGATACATTTAACTGTTTATGATGTCGACAAGATCATGAATCGAGAGCGACAGAAAAAAATGAAGACGACACGTTTTAATCATATAAAATTTAACTTTCGCTACTCATCCTGTCATCTATGAATAAAAAAGGGATCGCAATGCGACGGATGCACTCCATAATCGATTGTAACTTTCTTAACGGTGCAAAAAATTCCGATTATTTCCGCTGCATCAGCAATTCAGTAAATGTTTGCATAGGAAGAACAAACGTATGGATGATAAGTGTGCAGATGAAATTTCGATAAAGCTTTTCCAGTTCCGAATGGCAACGAACAAATCCAACCCAAGAACATATTTCAAAGAGGAAATCGAACGTGTTATGCTGTGGCATAATGTCCGGCCGAGTTAGTAGTAAAGAGTGTCAGTATCCATCCACAGACGCGTTCCACAAAACTACGTGTGATTGCGCATGTTTTTGGCTCATTCCGCCCTTGCGCTTTTTATGGCGAAGTGCGACGACACTGTACGCACATACACCTCTGACCCAACAGGGAGGAATGAGGGCATCGTTGACGAATGTTTTCGACAATTACATGCAATAATATCTATCGCTCGATAAAGTGCTAGTTGCAGAATAATGAGGCACATTCGAAAACAGGAGTGTAACGGTTCGAAGAGGTGCAAGGCATACTGCCGGATTGCATGACAGTGTTCCTTCCGTGAGAACTGCGTATTCATTCTCACCTTGATTTGCATGCACAACAATGACTCTATCAGCGTTTCTACCACCCGCTGGAAAAGAAATCTGATCCGTCTTAGGAAATTCGCGATCATCAAATATTACGAATGATTTAGGAAGCACATACGAAGCGTGTTGTAGTGATTTGTTAAAGATAAGGAAGAACTGCTTCGTTAAGCGCTATGGCGTGATTATATTTGCAAATAATATGGTATTTCTAGACGTTTTAGACTGTAAGGATATTTACACAGTCATACCTCGAGATGTAGGAAGTGGATTCAAATGATCTTTATTAATCCTACATATTCCATAATTCTGCCTTATGATCGCACATCCACACTCAATTTGTCGATACATTTGATCAACGACTAACTACAAACTTTCGACATATTCTATGCAAAAAGAAACAGCGAAAAAAAATCTGCAATTACTGTTCATTTCATTGCTATGTGGCGATGTTTCAGGAATTGCATACTATCCTGTGAAATGCTACTATGGAAATTTCTAAAAAATCTGTCAGTATGAAAATATTTTTTCATGGAGTTTTGAATTAGGATGATAAAGTTGAAAACTTTTTCGTGAAGTTTCCAGTAAACAATGAAGAACAATGCAATGAACTCTTTGTAACAGGAAATCAAATTGATTGTCTCATAGAAACGAAGACCATTCTTCATCATCAGTCGAAATCTATGAATCATGTAAAATAAATGAAGCCTACTCAAAACCACAGCTATAACTCACAAAAAGTTCGCCGCGATTGTTACGTGGTGGAACGAGGTGTATGAGTCATGCAACAGGAAGCTTTCAAGTGCCAAAAAAAGACTGTTTGAGAATCAAAGATGATTTTTAGCAAGCCCACTGATTATCATTTTAGGTATGTGATTGCTTCCCTTCAGAATCCTTCTTTTCTTTCGATAATCTCATTCTATGTTGACCACTTTCTTAGACACTCAAGCGTGAAAGAAATAATTAACTTTATCGGAGAAATGGTGCATATAAAATTACGTAAAACACACACCGTAAGATGTAATAATGCTTAATGAGTCGTACCAAACGTTGCTATTTCATGGAATTTTGAAGCGTTATTTATTCGCAAGGAATCAATTCAAAGTATTGCAAGAACGTTTCCATTGTTGGATTCTGAATCTGACGCAATTTCAGCAAACTTTTTTGTGTAGCACTTAATTTAACGCCTGACGTAGATAAACTTAAGGCTGACCGCCATCCTCGTCCACCACAAGGTTTTTGGAAGCTTTTCAATCAAGAATTTCCCCCATGTTCGTCCTTTCAGAAACCATATAACTGTGAATTTTTGAATTTTCAAAACGCAGAAACAAAAAAGAACTTGTCACGAAATGTGCTCCATCATTCTTGAGAATTCTTCGAAACTATGCAGTAGTAAAACATATGCAGTTTGAAAGTGCACTAATATGACAACAATACTGAATGAGAGAGAACATTTGCTGCTAATGGGATTTAGTGTAAAGGTGCACAGTGGAATGCTATCATATTGCGAATGAACTTTAATTACCAATTAATATGTATACATGTACATGCATGCACGTGAGTGTATCATCGAACAAACAAAACACGTTGAATAGCCGTATGTTGCTGCCTGCAGGTTGATGAAATTCATCGAAACACAAATTTTGGTTAAACTGGTCAGAATAACATTGGTTAATGGATAGACAGACAAGCTTGAGATGCGTTTAAGGTTGGCAAATTGAGGCAAAGTTCAAACTGATGATGTGATCCGAACTATTGGAGTTGAACGAAGGAATAATTGAGGAGCAAACAGCTCACCACTGTCAGTGAATAGATACTTCTGAATTCACTAATTCAAGAGATGAGGCAACAGCAATGTTAATGGAATACAAATGTTACCATTTTCCAGTTCACTGAATGCTCAGATTTGCCCAATATCCATAAAATTTGTTGATCTCATCGTGTACACGTCAAAAAAAATCAATGTGCAGTATTTAAGAAGGCTGTGTCTCAGAAAAAGTGAAATTTTCTTCCGATAACGTATAAACTTTTCTTAAACTAGAGGTCACGCCGCTTGATATAAAGAATCATAATGATGCTGAGAGTGCAGCTCAACTGAACAAGATATATGTGATAGTCACAGTTAGCAGTATTATGACCATACAGATCAATGTGTCACTTTTATTTGAACCTGCATCTCAAGATTCAATTTCATCTCAAGATATCATCCAATAACATACCCTTTGGATATATCCTGTTTAAGTTGATATATCATGATGCTGTGAAGTATCGAGAATACAAGTCGACTGAATAAGGCATACCTAATGCTAATAGTTAACAGTATTATGCAGACCTCTTCAGGGTGGCAGTAAATGCTATAAGATTGTATTACTATCTGTTACAGCATCACCTGAACTAGTTAAAATATTTGCGCACTATCGAGGGTAACCATATCATTTGTTACTCATCCATACATCTGCTTTTTTCTTAAGCTTTTTACTGTTTTCTTAAAAGTGGTTCAAACCCTCCTTATTTTGACAAATGTCATCTACCAGCCATTACTGTACTCAGGTTGATTTCAGGTCAATGCTGTTGGATGATTGTTTTGAGAAGCATACGCTGAAATGAAACGAATTTATATACAATCTCGGGCGAAATTCCCGGTCGAGAGTTATTTGTTTGTTTTTCCATGATGAGTCAAACACTGCATCTCTAAACCGTTTGCGGCCAATTACTCTCTGCACTAAGATTACGGTAAAATCGACGTATCACTTTTGAATTGCAACAATCTTCAGTTGCTGCTTCAGAATCAGTGAAGAAAACGTTGGTAATTTGAAAAAGGCTTTTCCCATCCCAGCAAACATACCCTGTATTCACGTCACTATCATTTGCTGGAGACAACATTTCCCATTTCAAGGAACTCTGCTCAGGCACATCAACGTTTGCATCACTTTCCATGATAACCTCGTCAATATCAGCAATTTTTGCAGATGAGCAACACTTTGAGAATCACTTCTGTCAGGTAAAGAGCATATCAGAGCCAAAAAATTTGGAAAAATGACTAACATTCGACTGCATAGAGCACCATGTATTCCAGCAAATAACATTTTGGATGAGTCAGTTTCGCTTATGCTCCATCCCTACTCAACTGTTGAGATTGTTGCTGTAATTCAACACCAAAAGTGATCAGATTAATGTCCACTTTTTTTGGCGTGTACACATATCCTCATGTTCACGTTTCACTTGCATTTTGAATTTTTGCAGGATGACTGCATAAATGAAAGTGTGTTGTCATCAGATGCTCTGCTAACTCATTGCAAAATGAAATAGGTGAAACGATTTTTTGAAAAAAAAAAAACGTAGTTTTTAACGCTGCTCGATCTTTCAATTGAATCGCACAGCTGCATCGGTGATCGTACATAACGATGATCAACTCTTATCACATTTTGAGGATAAACCCAAAGAATCAAAATTATCATCTTCAACAGAGGAAAAAGCAAAATTTGTTTATGAAGGAGTTGAAAAACACTTGACGATTTTGATAGATGAACAAAATCATCAACATATTTCAGTTATCTAAAAAATGCTCCATGAGAGAGCGTTGTCATGATTCGAAGTCCTGATGAGGAAATACCTAACTGCAACGAATTTAAACTTTGAAGCGAGTTATGAACAGTTCATCTGATTTGACTGCCCACCATTTGGAAAGGGAACATGGAAGTGCATCAGCTGAATTTCTTGTAGATTTGGAGAAGGCCGTCGCGGAAAGTGAGGTTCTTCCTGGAGTTATCTACAACCGGTTCCTATTCAAAACAGGGGGAGGTAAACCAGAACGCGGAGGTTCAGACAGAGTTTTAATGCAATGGTTGGTAGAAAATTGTGTGAATTTTAAGCTGAAATAGCTTCATGATTTCGATGTTCTGAACCCCCAAAAGGCATCCCCAAAATGCCGCTTGATCTTATACGAAGGTTTAATTCAAAGCCTTGGATCACAGTTATAATTTTTGAAAATTAGTTCAGCAGCTATTTTATCACAAACGTAACGAAGCATTGCGGAGAAAAGGGCATTCCAATTAGTATTCTACTCAGCCTCGATGACACTCTCGGTTATCCACAAATATTGCTAAACTTTTGAGTATTTACTTTTGAGTATTTTTGATAAAGTTTTTCTCTTCCCAATCTGTGTTTTTCCTGGTATCATCTCTCTCTTGGAGCAGATGAACCATTTTTGAAAGGTGCTATACATAAGGAAAGTATGACAAAACAAACATTCTTAATGAATCGATTACCAATCGTGCCTTTTGAAAGAAACGAAACATTAGAAGGACAAAAAGTAAATGAGAATTTTCATTTTAATTATCTCCTTATTTTTTGCCCACAATGTATAATGATCAGTCGTGATATCAAGATAAAGCGCCCTAATGATGGGCTTTGTTCGATTTATGTTGCTATCCCATGAACCATTGATTCATAGTACGATGAAATTATTCGACCTCATCCTTCTCACGCATGCAAGGCATTTCGAAATAATATAAACATAAATCATCAGCATGCTTTCTGCGCTTTCATCATATTATACCAGTATTTACACGAAGCACAAGCAATCAAGAATATTCCACAACATTTACAGTCAATCTCTGAGCAAAAAACTGATCGATTATCATCTTATATAGGTGCGTAAAAAAGCGTATGCTGAGTGTTTTAAACAGTAACCAAAGGGCATTTTTCACTATTTTATGATGCCATTCTTCAAATAGGCTTTAACACCTACAGACAGTGAATGGGAGGGAATAGATGTTTGTTTTGCTTTACGAAAACATTAGCAGTGAGGCGCTTATGTGTGTATAAGATTGTTATTGGTTATTGGCCACATGACGTTAAGTGAACTGTATCAAAACGTATATTTGTTTATAACTAAAAAATGTTCCACCATTTCGTTCATTCGTTCAGCATAACCTCGAACACTGCTATATTCACTAACAACTGCTCGTGTGTTCTTATAAATTCCACATATATGAATTTTTGATTTCGATCTATTCGACTTGGATTGTTCACATTTCGAGATTTATCATTTGAATTGTGCTCAATTAATATCTTTTTATTCTATGTCATATTTGTCTATTTGTTGAAAGAAAAAACGATCAAAATCACAAAATTTGAAGAAAAACTGGATATTTTTGGTGCTGACGTACAACACATTAATGTTTTCAACACAACAGGTTGCAATTTTTTTTTCCGTATTACTTTTACCAGTTATGACGGTACTCATTTAGATTTACTGGTTACAGAATCGTGCAATTTAACAGTGTGATATTTCGTTTGCACACGACCTTGCGATTGCTTCTTGGTAACATTTACTGTCGAATTGAAACAATACACATAAATTTGGCCGATTCCATTCAGCGTTTACATCGATGATGTTGTCTTAAAGTATAATCCACTTCATAGAAGGGCAGTAAATTGTTCAGGTTTTCACAAATGTCCTCCACGATTCTTTCAATGGCATTCAACGCAATACCGAAAGTTTTCACGGTGATTTTGTCATTAGTGTTCAGTGCTGTGACGTGTATTCATCTTCTCATTGAATGGTTTAAACATCGTGATAGTTTCTTCACTGTCAAGGAACATCCGAAACCGAAGGTTCTTGATGGATGGATTCATGAGACGGTTCGATTATCGGTTAGTGTAAAACACATCGCAACTTGCATAGCATTCTTTAATTTAATCCGATTTATGAGGCAAAACTCTGAAACAATGTATGCTCTATCTGACATTAGCACGAAAAGTCGAATGCGATTATATTCCAATTGAAAGTTCTAAATAGAATTTCTTCACATCACAGGAAGTGAATCTTCATTATGTAGAAGCTGGCGATATGGATCATCCACTGATGCTAATGATTCACGGTTTTCCGGAATTTTGGTATTCGTGGCGGTATCAAATACGTTACTTCGAAAAAAATTTTCAGTACGTTATCTTCTGTTTCTTCATTTGCATCAGTAATTTTGTTTCAGTAGAATAGAGAAAAATGAGTTAGGCAAAAAGCAAATTGTTTTGTCCTTATTGTGTTTAAAGAGCGGTTTCCGCTGAATATTTTGCTGAAATTCTTCTCGAAGAACTCGATGCAATATTCAGTTATTATTGTTCAGTAGTATTTCCTGGTAACCGTCATTCATCAATGAAGGTTTGTGTCTTGAACTAAGTCTGAATCAAGATGAGATGAAACGATCAGCGTTCGTCTCGATTAGATGAATTTTTTTTTTTGGCTGCCTTTCTCAGCATGTTTCATAATTTTTAAAAGAGAAATTCATATTGAGACGCAGATGTAGCTTATTTATCAATGAGTTTTTTTTTTGCTGTTTGCAGCGTGGTGGCGATCGATATGCGTGGTTATAATGAGTCTGATAAGCCGGAGGGTATCGAGCATTATCGTAAATCAGTTCTCGCAAAAGATATCAAAGAGCTGATTAGTGCATTAAGTAGGCATTATTGGTGATCCTATCGCTCTTCTCTCAATGTTTTAAATAAATATCAATTATAAAATATTCTCCTCATTCGTATGAGTTTTTGATTTGCTTTATAGATCATGAGCAAGCGATTTTGGTCGCTCACGATTGGGGTGGTGCAGTGGCGTGGCAAGTAGCCGCTGAATATCCAGAAGTAGTTGCAAAATTGGTCGTTTTGAACTGCCCTCATCCAGCGGCCTTCAGACAGTTGCTACATTCGAACTTCCGTCAATTAATGAAGTCATGGTATAATTAATGAATTACTAAAGAATTGATTCAACTCACTTCAATTTTGCAGTCATTCATCGTTGCATTGAGCGAGGAGCCGTATGCATATTCATATTTCAGTTGTAGCTAAACGAAGCATTAATCCGTTCATCGCGAAACAAACTACGTTTCCATGCATTCAGGGTCGTTTGTACAATAGTCTCAGTTGCGTGCAGTCGAGAATTGCATACATTCAGTTATGATCAGTGTTGCCTGATTTGGAAAAAAAATTGACTCAACCGACTCAAGAATTGACTTTGCGGGTTTAAGATTTTCGTCTCGAGCTCTAGCCTCGCATTTTCAGAGGAATTTTCCCTCCAACTCCGGCTGTGCGTTCTTAAAATTCCAGATCTGGCTCCGCGTTTCCAAAATTTCTGTGTCAGCTCTTTTTGAAAATTTTGGCTTCGGCTCCAAGGTTTTGAAAATTCGACTCCAGCTCCGGCTCCAAGTCCGTGTTCTTCATTTTCGCCTTGAGTTCCCGCTACGAAATTCTCTCCGCTTTGGAGTAGTCTGGATCCGAAAAAAAAAATCTCACAGGTCTTATAGTTAGCTCCGACTACTGAACGTTGCTGTGATGTTCCTTTCGAGGGAGCTAAATAAATTCTCTTCAGATCCGAAGCATAGCGTCACTGGTTATGGTGAAAATATCTATTTTATTTTTGAATAGTTTCAGTCCCGTTGCTGCTACAGCAAACGATCTCTCTCGAGAGTATTCGAATTTCATTCGCAAACATCTTATACGAATTTTTTTGCATAGCGATAACTGTTATTGATTCTTAAAATATCGATGAGAGGTTATTAATTGTTCATTGAAAAGAACCATGTTCCATTCTCGTCACAAAAGCATCAGAAATAGAAGTAATGGAGTGTGCTTCGTAATTACTTTCACAAATGCAACAAATAGCACTGATCTACCTTGAAGGTATATGTTCATGTTTCAAATGCCGTCGTTACCCGAATTCCTTTACAAATCAAATGATTACCAAAAGCTGAAAGACATATTCCGTTCTGAGAAGACAGGCATTAAGCGCAAGGAAAATTTTACGGATGAAGATGAAGATGCGTGGCTATTTTCGTTCTCGAAACCAAGTTCGTTTTGCTGCGTACTATTGAATGGCGATTTTTGTTTTGTTTCTAAACGTCATTTCGTGAATCTGAAATGAATTTTCGCCGTAAAAGTGGTAGAAAAGTTTGTTATTTCCAACTCTTCAGATGCCTTCACTGGACCAATTAACTACTACAGAGCTAGCTTCAAGTTGCAAGAAGCTCAACCCTCCTCAGCACTCATCAAAGTAATTTTACAGTTTCTTCATTCACGTTTTTTATCATGCGATCTTCATCTACAATATTTAACGCATGAACTGTGCACTCGTTGATAATCTTTTGCATCATACATCTCATTTCAAGGATAATTTAGAAAATGCCTTCATGAAATACTGATACTGCTGCTTAAATGAATTAATCAAATAGGAACATTCGAAGGCCTTTCAGCACATATAAAGGTTACTGGCTGAAACTTTTCTCATAAATATTTACAAAACTCTTTTTCAGCCGAATACTTTGATTATTTGGGGTACCGGCGATGCCTTCCTTGAGAAACGCGGAGCAGATATTTCACCTCAGTATTGCGAGGTACATACCGGATAAGTGAAAATTGTTACTTTTTGAAATGAGCCGTTTCTCTGTGTGAGAAAGTTCTACATTACCAACGTTTGAAAAAGTTTAGATGGTTATTAATGGAAATGAAATTCCGTTCGAATGCCACCACTAATCGGAAGCTGTCGAATGTTTCTGATTTCACCGAAGCATTAAATGATCTCAAAATTGTTCAATGACAAAAGTACATTATGATAAGAATGCAGTAGTTGATATAATATTGATAACAAACTTGTTTTAGAAGGCTCAAGTGAAATTCATCGAAGGTGCGTCGCATTGGGTACAACAAGATGAACCAAATTTAGTGAACGCATACATCGATAAGTTCGTGATGGAAACTCAATAGTTGAACACATGAACTCATTTGTTTAGATTATCGCTTTTGGAATTGTTTTTATTTCAGTTAAAGTGGTGCCGTGGAAAATTATTTTTTGATAGCATTCATTTAATCATTCTGATTGTCAGTATCGGTTCACACAGTCATTTAGTTCGTTTCATATGCTCATTAGGTTCGTTTCATCTTTTCTATTCTCATGCATTACATCTGCTTAATGCCTACATACGTATTCGAAACTAGTTATGGCAACTGACCGAAATTCGGTCGGAAAAATGACGAATTCCGGATTATAATCCAACAATTTTGAAGTACGGTCAGAATAACGCGTTTCGGAATCTCAGATTGCGAATTCGGTCGAGTTTCGACTGAGGAATTTTAAAGTTCGGTGGGGATACCAAATTTCGGAATCTTGAAAAGTCGATTCGGTCGGATTCCGACTTAACCAAAATTTCGCTCGGTTGCCATTACTATTCGATGCAGTGGTGACTTTTACGTATGTTCGTATATTTTATTGAATGACTTTTACTTGGTTCGATAAACAAGTCCAGTTAGGTGTCTTAATTGCACACATATAGAGTGTTGACTGTAATATTTTTACAATAAATGAATTTTTGAATGTTGAAGTGGATTATTCATCATGATACTGGTAAAGTATCACTCTGATTTCGATACGTTTAATTAGCAAAAGCACGTTCTCTAACGCACCATCCAGAGTGTAACTGGTCCTCGTAAGTTTAGCTATCTGAATACCAATTTCCCTTACTCCGTGCACACAAGAAGAAAAACCGACTGACCTGAGAATGCAAACTCAGCACCTGTGCATGGATGACATCAAAACAAACCTTAAAGTCTGTTAACGATTAAATACTTCCGATTAGTGATGGGATTCAAGCGAAATTTCAGTCGGTCTGGATCCTACCGAATTGGCATTTCGTCGTTCCGACAATCGGAATTCCGACTGATTTTCCAAACTGCTCAATATTCCGACAGAAATTGCCGGATTTTTCCGACCAACTGTCGGTCGGATCCTATCACTACTTCCGATAGACATGTAGTATAATGCTGCGATCTATCGCTTCGAATCCGTTTTAAGGATGAACTTTATAATCTGTACAGATGCAGCATTTTAATGACGCAATTAGCGTTTGATTCGAAAGAAAATATGCTAGACGTGGGGTCTAAAGCGTACGCTTGGAGCAATGCTTGGAACTGGAACGGGACGACTGGTTAATAGCAGAAGGCAAAGAGAACTTAAAAGAAACAACTCGAAAGTCACAACATGTTCGCAAGCCATTTAGTGGCACTTCATCAGCATTGTTTTGCCGCATCTTGAACAAGCTAATTTTTTAAAAGAGAGTTTAAGTGAAAAGTTGACCGATAGCAGCTAGTTTTTGAGCAAAAGTAAATAGAAAGAGACTCGATAAATGGATGCATTGTTGGATGATCAGCTGACTTATTCGCAGTGCTAAACTGGAAAAAAAATCATGTAGTAAGGATTGTCACCGGCCAATTTTTCTTCCGACTTTTGTGGTTTCGATTCCGATGTCAATTCAGATCGGAACGAAAATACCTAACGGTTGTAAACTAGGCAAACAATTCATTGGGTTTCTGAACTGCCAAAAGTATTTCGTCTTGTTTTCAATCTGTTCTTTGCAGTCATCCAATCCAAACGCGTATAATCGATCAGAAGTTATTATTTGACAACTCATTCAAGTCATATACATTTCAAACCTCTTTCTTTCTTGATCATTCCATATTTTCAATTGTTGCTCTTTTGACACTCCAACTTTCAATTTCTAACTTTCACAGCCCCGATAGGTTTCTTCAGATTCCAGTTCCGGTTCTTTTAGCCCTATTGTTCCCTACAAGAAGACCAAACGCATGAGAGATGCGGCAGTTTTCGTTGAATACTCGAAGTTCTATTCCTTTGTTTTTAAGTAGGACATCGTCATTTGGAAAACACACTATTAACAACGATGTGATTGTTTTGCGGCATCCAATTCGACAGAATTTCTTACTGATGAATTATAATTATAATTTCAGTTGTTTGATATGGTCAGAAAAGGTGTGATACATCTTGTTCAAAGGGCATTACTTTCATTAAAAGGACGAGACACACGTCAACTTCTACAAGGATTAACTACCAATGATTTGAGGTCAATTTTATTGTTTGCCTCTTTCGTTCCTTTATTTCCTTCTCTCAACAGAGTGAAATTATTCGATCTTTCTTTAATTATGCGCAGGAATGATACTTTTTTCAATGCCATTTCACGGTCTAGGTAGTTAACGGAGTCTACAGTCTTAGTCTCGTATCAATTGCTGAACGTAATCAAAGAGATGATGATTATCTTTTAATTTGGATGATGGGTAGTTACTGTCTGCTTAATTTTTTTTGCCAAAAATTTTGATCTACTTGCAGATCAAGACAATTTTATCAAGAAGTCATGAAATGTTTCCAAGTTTACCATTATTTCTGTTTCAATTTTTTGAACTTAACTGGCTACTTGTACAACACAGATTTCTGGGACTGAGAAATATACAGCCTAAATTGCATAATAACCGCGATGTTAGAACTGAATGTTGATCGTGCTGAAATGATTTCTGCAAAATTATGAAAAACAAGTGGCAAAAAGCATTAGCAGATATTGCTTAACAGTTTCAGTTGGTGCTTGCTCTAAATTTAGGAAATGAGTGTGAGTTGAAGTTGAATCGTCGCTCATTTATGTCATTTCTAAATTTGGATCTTTAGCTCAAACTTGTCATCATTTTCTTAACAGTCTCATACTGATATATTTTGGTATTAATGCAAGTTTACAACTAAGCGTGAATGTACATGTAATAGTCATTTTTTACTGTAATATTCGGCTGAGCATTTATTTTTACTTGGTGGCATGTGAAAAAACTTTGGTTGATATTTTCAGTTTATTACGTCGGAACGGTGCATTGTATACATTGTTATTGAATAATCGTGGCCGTATTGAATACGATCTGATAGTTTATGAAAGAAACGATGATGAATTCTTAGTGGAATGTGATTCGGATCGAAGAGATACGTTAAAACGATTGCTGCAAATGTATCGTATGCATAAAAACGTCGTCATCGAACCGTCTGATACGAATGTGTTTTTTGTCAACCAAAAATGTGATGGTGCTTTCATTGATCCTCGTATACCAGCTTTTGGGACTCGACTTCTTGCTGATCGCATTCCAGGTTATTAACGTTCGTAAATAACTGAGAAAAGGATGGGATCAGAATGAATTTCCAGAAATTATTTGTAGGATCCTTTTTTTTCCTGTATACAATATCGACGGTTGCCGATTCAAAAGTGAAGAATATTCCGTTAAAAAAATAATTTTAATTGGTGCCATTAACAAAGATGTTTTAGATTCAGACGCATCCAATGCAATGTCCGTATATGAAGATAGACGTTTCGAGTTTGGTCTAGTGGAAGGTAATGCTGAATTGAGAGGTGCATTGCCAGTTTATCGTAATGCAGATATTATGAATGGAATGAGGTTGATAATCGATCATTTTAATTCACATTTCTTTATTCGATGTTTTTGATTCGTTGACTACTGCTGAATAGCATCGAGCAAGTGAATGGATAGTTTTGAGTAATTTGATGTGGTGTTTTGAGTATGTAGTAAGAAGTAATGTTCACTTTTAGTTATGATAAAGGTTGTTATCTTGGTCAGGAGGTGAGTGCGCAAACGCTTCGTAATAAAATCAGGAAACGAATAGTTCCGTTCACATGCGATGGTTTGTTTCATTTATTTATGTCAGTCATTTCAGTTCTAGAATGGAGCACAACAAAAGAATGATTATGGAGCTTAATTTGAGGTAGAGCAAGTGGCCTAATAGTGGATCCGAATGATGGTTCCTCAAATATGGGTAATGTCATAGCTTGTAATGGTCATCGAGGACTGGCTCTACTACGTCTTGATCGTATCACTTCAAATGCCATATTGAAAGCAAACGATATCTCAATAAAACCACGTATACCAGCTTGGTGGCCGAAGGATGCTATGCCAAACAGTGCTCCCAATTGCTCATAAATAAATCACTTCAACTGTATTTAATAATTTGCCAGTAGAATAATATAAAACGAGTAATTCTTATCATATTGCCTTCATTGTTCAGCTTTCTTCTGTTCTTATTGGTGTGATGCATTTACAATGCACTGACCATTTTATGGTAATATTTATCGAAGTTTGTTTTGATTTTCATCGTCGTTTATTCCAATCACATTCTGTGATATTTTCAATTTTTTTCGTCAGCGGATTCTAGTTTTATTTAATTTTTGACAATAGTTTGACATCATTTAATAGATCAGCATCGATATAATCAGTATCAACACAATGTCGGAGAAGCAGTTTCGTCGGTATTTGATGGTAACGGGTCAGCTGGAAAACAAACATGAAGAACTAGGGGTAAAGGATAATAACATGGCGAATGATGAAATAGATGATACAGAAGTAAAGGAATCAGTGTCAATGAATCGGTATGTTTATTGTTCTTATATTTTAGTTTTTGTCTTTAATTAGCGATCACATTGTTCAATTCGTAGACAGTAAACGATTGAGTCACCTGTTGTATTTATGAGTGGTTATAGATCAGAGTGAAAGGAATGAGAGCGAGTGCTGAAGTTGATGTATAAAAATTGACTGAAGTATAGTGAAAGGAATTTAGGTGTTATTATAATTTTATTATTATATTGTTATTGTATTATTGTTGTTATTAACAATGTGAAATTTTCAAATGACTAATCAATAACGATGAAATTTGAAACAGATTCGAGTTACTTGGAGATGAAAGTGACCATAATACAAGTGATGAAAATGGAGATGTGAAAGGAGATAAAATAACTGATAAAGAAGATGAAGAAAGTACTGGAAGAATGGCAACTGGAAACATAAGTAAGGCAAAACACCGAAAAAGTAGAAAAAAGCAAAAAAAGAGAAGGGAAAACATCGAAGATTCGTTGGATATAACAAATGATGCCAGTAGTGAACGTGAAACAAATGAACCACCTGATAATAATAGCAAAGTCGTATTTGAGGCTGACATATTCAAGGTACAACATTTCTAAATGATACTTCAATAGTTGTCTGCAAAACCGTAGAACTGACCAAGGTTAAAAAATACATCAAAGTACGTTTTAATTATGGAAAATTAGTTGTATCGAATAGTTTGCTTTATTCAGTTCACAGCAAGATGCATATCACACTTGCAGATTTTGAGGTTTATTATTACCTTTTCGTATTTGTTTTCATGAAGTTGGTTTTAGTCATCCAATGCAGTTATCATCTAATCATTATGATCTTCTTCTAAAGTTTCGCTCAGTCAATTCATTTTAATGATTGTTTAATTGCTTTTTATCGTCCATTTTCAGTGCACTTCCAGACGTAACATAACTTATAGATCGATCCTCGTAATTTTGATTACGATAAGGAATTCAGTCTTATGCTCGGGCAGAAACCCAAAAAGCGTCCTCATCATCAATCAAGGACAAAGAATCGTTTGGCCTACGGAAAATCACAATGGCCGGTGTTGAAAAATACGGGTATCTTTCACACTTTTTCTTTATCGAAGAGTTTTTCTTTTCTTGAACAAGTTTTTTTTGCGTTATTATGTTTCATTTATCGTTGTTTGAAAAATAAGAAACATTCATTATGAGCGATGTGGATTTCGTGAAATCTTTATTGTTCAGTCAGTATGTTGAGTTGATTGTTTGTACACATTACATGACTGATCGATTGTTCATTTGTCCATTGAAAAAGATTAGTTTTCCTTGTAATTTGTATTCGTTCAGGTTTTCACATGGAATTAGATAAAGTGGAACGCGGAGTTTCTTTTTATAGATTCAAGCATAATGCATTGTATCAAGGTGTGCAGCAGTTGTTTTGGACAGGCTTTAAATTGAACGATGAATCTCTGCTGATGGTATGTCGTTGTGCCATTGTTGCGGTCAAAAGCTATCTTACAATTTTGATCATTTGAACATGTTTTCCATAAGAATTTTATTTTTGAACTGAAAATGCACTTTGAGTGATCATCTAAACTCCACCGTACAAAATCATTCACTTCCTTTATATCGATCAATGTTTGTTTTTTGAATCCCGAATGGTCTTTTTTGTTTCATTTAAATTAATTTGTCGACATTGAGAAAGTCACGAAGTACTGCAGTCATATAATAGAGAATGATTTTTATGATTTCAGTCATAATAGAAATCGAATGTATTAATGAGATGATAATTTCCAAGAATGGCGGATAATCGAGACTTCTTAATTATGCATTTTTTGGGGATTCAAAAAACGAACTGTTCAAAATTTTGAAGGAACTTTTGGTGGAACATCCGTTCCATTTGGATACTCTTCTCACTGTGGCTAACACGTTATCATTTCGTGAAGAATATTCGGCATCTCATGATTTGATCGGTTTGTCTGCGACTGTTATTTATGAACTATTTGAGTCGTTCTTGTTTTCTCTTCCGTTGATTTTCTTTTTGTTATTAGGGAGTAAGATTTTTGTGACATGAAAAGTTCGGTTTTCATGTTTATTAAAAAAGTTTTCAGCAGACTTCAAATAGTGATGACTTTTTTGGTTGAAAATCGAGCTGACGAAACGAAATGTATTTATTATTATTGTTACATTTCTTGTTATCATTGTTTCAAAAAAATTACATTTATTCTGATTACAGAGCGTGGTATATTTGCGTGCGAGAGTATGTTCGCAGCACAGTTCAGTTTAACGGATTTCAATCATCGTTTGGAGTATAAGCAATGGGAGAACCGTGCATTCTTCCTTCTTTTGCATCGTCATATGAATATGTTGTTGGATCGTGGGCTTGTTCAGACTGCGTTGACAATCGCCAAACTCATCTACAAACTGGATCCGGTCGAAGATCCACTTGGCATCCTACTCATCATCGACTCGTTGGCTTTGAAAGCCAATCAACCGAAGCTTGTTTTGCAAATTTATGACACTCTAGGGGTGCGTTGTGATTAGTTTTCGACTCTATTCAGCTATTCTATTCTTTTCTGGGTGTCGCTTTTTTGAGAACTGTTCTGTTCTGCCCTTTGAACTTCTCTATTTCTTTTTGTTCTCCACCCCCCCCCCCTATTTTGAAAGCCGTTCTATTATATTCTATTCCGCCCTTCAACTGTTCTGTTCGATTCAGTTCTGCGCGCCCTTCTTTTTGGAACTGTTCTATTCTATTGCTCAAGATTTTGACTGGAATCGAAACATCTCATCTTGTGACCATTGTTACATCATCAACCAATATTATTTTAACATAGATTCGACGAAAAATTCAATGTTTTTCCTATATTTTTATTTCAATTTGTTTTGTTTTATTCGATCTTTGTTTTTTTTTCTTAAAAAGAATTTCTTTTCATTTTTTTGGAATTTAATATTTGTTCAAGGTAGCACAAAGCATAAGTTTAATTGTTAACTGAACTTGGTAACTATTTTATATGGTGTCCAATCAACCACTTTTTTATAATACATCACCATTGATGTATTATAAAATATTCATTCTACTTTTCAGAAGGCTCGTCGTCTTGAAAGGCTGCCAAACTTCGCCTACTCAATTGCATTGGCTCATTTTGAGCTATCACGCGAGAGCGGCGATCGATCTTCTGCGGACCATTATGTTCGTAGTTTGATGTTTTCAGCTTCGTTCTTCGAGTTCATAAATTTTTATTGATTGAGAATACTTCATTCAGTACTCTTTATATCCGCTATGACATACGTTGTGTATATGAGTTAGTCGAAAGAACATGCAGATGCGTTTCGTTGAAGTAATGTGAATTGAATTTCCCACTCTTCATCTTCCCATGCACAATTATTTTACATATACATGAAAATATCTAAAATTTCACTGAATTCTTATCGAAAATTTCAGTTAGCCCAAGCAATTCGTCGTTTTCCAACAATGGTTTCACCATTACTCACCAAGATAAATGTGCAACCCGATGAAAATCTGGAAAAAAATACCAGACTGAATGAGATCGCTTATCAAAAGTTGGTTTCGTTACAGATTGGCATATTTTTCCGAATTTTTAATTTTTCTCTTTCTAACCTTAAAGTCGCATAGAACTTTAAACAGGTCGTTCCTTACTACCAAAATGATGCCATCGAAACGAATCATAGTGCTAACCACTCTTCACTGCTAAATTCAGCAAAATTTAACTAGATTGTATAATGTTCTGTTGTTTTAAGTCTTGTTTTCTTACATATATTACCATCTCATTCTCATTTCATCCAAGCCCACTGGATATTGTTAGACTGGAATTTGGGCTTGAACATCGCTGTTCGATTTGCAATCACAGAGCGACGAATTATGAGCGCTCTACTCTCATTCATACTTTAATAAGATAATCTTTATTCCTCTCTTTTAACGTCGGAATATAAGTTAAACTTCTGTCACAAATAATCAAATTCGAATGAAAACAACAAAAGAAAAAACATCGACAACTATTGTAAGATTCAGGGAAACGGAAGGTATGAAGCTGTTGATATGTGTTTATATTGATCATGCACACGAATTATGGAATGATAATGATGTTCTAAAGTGGTTCGAAGAAATCACAAAGTTAACGATTGAAACCTTTGATCAGCATACAGAGGAGATTAGAGAATGGGATAAAACGTGAGTGTTTTCAATTTTTAAAATTCTTCATATTTGATCATACTGATTTTACGTTCTCCTATAAATGCTCAACAGAATACCATAAGAGAGAATAATTTCAAAAACAGTCGTCAGTAGTATTCAAAAATTCACCATACTTATTGCACAATAAAGAAGGCGTCATCCATCATTGTCCATCGGTTTTTGTTGATGCTATTCCTTGAACAATAGAATCAATGAAAAAAATCACAAAGAATTAAGATTCATTTCTCTATGTTGTTTATTTCTAATTTCAATATATCTATTTAATTGAAGAAACTTGTGACAACTTCAAACATTAATATTACAGTTTTCTGCTTCACTGAAACGAAATATTAAATGTTGAACGAATCTCAATTTCGAATACGTTGCGTTTCCTAATAGTTCAACAAAAACTTCATTTGCACAGTTCACTTACAGTGATTTCATTTTAACCTATAGTTATAATAAAAAGTTTATTGCAGTAAAAACATGCATCCAAAATACATTTATCATGAACGAACGGTAAACACAACTGAAGAAAAAAATTCAAACAGATAAAAACAAGAACCCCTCAGAAAAATCATATCAATTAAAAATGAATCTTTTTATAATACATCATTTGATTATTACGCAAAATCCACGGTTCCAATGTATAAAAGAATCTTTAATTGCATACATGCTGGCTGTACATATCAGCATATTAGCGTCAAAGCTGAAATTTTTTCATGAATCCAAATAAATCAGATGACTTTTTGAAGTTATTTTGTCTAACAAACAACAGACACGTATGTTGTGATCACATGCTTGATAAGGAAAACGTCTCTAAGCCACCCCGAGTTGGATCTTCAGTGGTGACGAAGTATCTTACTATATAAATGCGAATTAGGAATGGAAAACAGAATTAGGAAATACCTACAATAATTGTTTAATTGATAACATTTGGAAACTTATGAATTGAGAAACGAAAAAAGTGTTCATATAAGTGCTCAATCATAAAATCCATGTGGTGCGTTTTGGAGTTTGCAGAAGGTTCAGCTAATCATAGATTTGAATTAATTATTATTGTTCATAAGATTAACAAATATGCTTTGTTGAATTTTGTGATCATTTCCGATCTGTGACGAAATTATTATAGTTAACGTATGGACAAAAAAATGTTTTGATGAGATAGATTTTAAGTCTTAAAAAATTTGCGAAAAGCCGCACCTCAGACGCTAAGCTTAGTGTGTCTTTCTCCTTCTTTCAGTGGATCACCACCAAATCTTTCACCATCTCAAATGAACAACTTTCCGAATTCGTACGCTCATCAAGCATTCATCCATTTCTATCTGTATGCAGGGAATGCAAATGTCTACTTAACGAAGGCACTTTTTTAAAACTTATGCAAAAGAAACAATAAGAGTAACAATTTGAAAAAAAGAACAAACAAATTTTCAAATAGAGCCTAAAAATGTGAATGAAAATACGAACGAAACGTAACACAAACAGCGGTTGAAATATTGGTCATCAACGAACAAAACCGAGATAATAATCGAATAACATTCTCATGCAATAAATTTTTGCTTATTGATCACCGAACGACATCATCAAATAAGTGATATAAGTAAAAGTAAGTTCATAAATATGTTGAGACATGATATGCCTGTTCTTATGGGGAATCAGCAATTGTTTCATTTCTGATTAAATTGATCCATTCCGCAAAAAATGCAATTTGCAAAACAGTAAACGTAAGAGTAACCGCTAAGGAAGTAAATGAGGTTGAATCATCGCTTCAGTCGTGGCTCTTGTTACGGGGGCATACCGCGAAATGTAAGACGTCATGCAACATTGTGGCATTTACGTAACGGTGACGAGGGGGAAATGGTGCTGGTGGATCCATCACCACCGGTGCTTTCGTTTGCGGATTATCAACCGGTAGGTGCGTCGAGTTTTCAGCCGCCGCAGTCGTGGTTGTTGACAGTGGTTAGTTCGCTCATTCCGGATGATGCTCAGGTGAACGTTGGCTTTATCAGTTCGAACATTAATACCAACGATAACATAGCACATAAATAAAGTACGATGCACACAGCTGCGTTCCAACTGTAACATAACGATACGATTAGGCGGTATCTCTGATTCCGAAAAGCGTATTCAATTGAAAACATGTGCTTGAGTTTATGAGCGTTCATTTCTTAAGAAGACAACTTCCAACAATCAAATAAGATTTCAAAACATTTCTTCTTGACGTTTGTCATTGAAATTGCTTAATAATATAACATGAATGATTGTGGAAGAGTTTCACATGAAATTTTTTCTTGAATGCAGTCATACAAAATCGTCATTCATCCTGAATGATAAATTTCTTCACAAGTTCGAACTGAATCAAATTGGACATCTCTCTTACTTTTGAGTATCAGTGACCAATCAATTTCAAATCTGCTCTGTTCATATTCGTTATTAGGGTTAGACCGGGCGTCTTGCTCGGAGTCTCTATAATTGATTTTGCTCCTAACACTGGGTTGGAAACCCCTAGGGTACGTTCCTTGCCCCTCCCCGAGCCCAGTTTCGCCCCCAACCTTAGTCGACATAAACGTTGCATTACTATTGCAAACATCTGTTCGTTTCGTCTTGATTTAAATATCAGTACGCTTTACTTGACAGCAGTCACCAAAGTTAAGTGATCATTCAAACGGTTCAAAAGTGTTCTTTATCGTAGCTCTCCATCGTACATAATTTGTTCTAATCTAATCAAAATAGAGGCTCTCTATCGGCATAAAGTAATGGAGTTATATGTGTGCGTTCAATTGCATGCTTGATCCATTTGTCAGTCACGAATGATAAGCTATAAATCTCTTTCTCAGTTTGAAAGAAACCTTCCCTAAGCATTAGCAACAACGCTGTGTAGAATACGATTTTAGGGTGTGATTTGGCTGTGTACTCGAAATATGTTAGAATAACGGACGTCATATAAGTGACTAGTTGGTTTGGTTTTTTTAAAATGAAGATGCGATTTTGTGTGAAGTGATTCGTACTCTTCAATGAGAACATCATTGTATGTCGTCGTGTATGAGAGGAACGTGACATATGCATCGTAATTGCTTTCAGTTTCGAGTGGGTGTGCATATATGAGTGAATGTGAATGTATGTAAAGAGTACTGAGTAGTCAATCTTCTTCGTGATATAGGCTATTTTGAACTCTCAAGTCAACCTATTATAAAAGAGAGTTGATGACTGCATGAGCAAAAAAAAAGCGAAGATAAGAATTCTATAACGTAGTGGTGATATTTTTATGCCTAATAGTTTATTTCACTTGTTAAGAGAAATCTTCTGGATAATATGGATATAATATAGTATTGGTTAGATTAATTTTGTTTGGATGTTATTTTACTGAGAAATTTTAAGGGCTGGTCGATGCAGATGGTGAAATATATTTCAACCTTTTTTATCAAAATTCATCATTGAACTCTTACTTTTTACTCTAGCGTTTTAGAGCAAAAAATTTGAAAACTGAAGTAATCTGCGTTTCCTTTTGATTGTTTTCTTCTGTAGTTTTCCGGAAATAGTTGATTCGAATATCCATAATTGATGATCGTGTTCAAGTTATTAGAAAATGCGATAGGTTCTACGGTGTTATAGAAGGAGTATTCATTAATTATCCGTTACGTAAAATATATGCAGCATAGCCAGTAGATCGTTAACAATTCTGTTACAATTCTTTCTTTGATAATGATTAAATGAACAAAATATTTATATCATTTAATAAAATGAAGTGTTTTGTAAAGTAAAACAAGAGTATCCATCCAGTTGCTATGGAAACCAGCTTGGGAAAGTTGATTATTAAGTGACGAAAGAAGATACAAAAAGGGCCGTACACAATCTCTGTAGTGATAAAATGATTGATGATAACGGTAATGCTAGATTAGAGTATGAACGTATGCATGTTGTCAGTGGGAGATCGGATTCAGTTGGAGTATTCTTACATTTCATCCAGAAAATAGCCATCCAAAATTTATGGTCAATTCGCAACTAGATTTTGCAGTAAGCGCAGCTAAGTTTATTCCCTTTGTAAACGAATCAAATTTTATTTGGTTCACTTGAATATGTGAAAGTCATATTTTTGATTAGGGAGAGACTGATTGCCAAATGGTATGTTTCCATTTGATCTTCATATAATTGGTAATTATTGATATAGGATTAGAAGTAATTCGAGAATTGCACTTGAAGANACACCAGGTGTATCTGTGTAAACAATTGTTGCATCTTGCCCATCGTTGCCATCTTCTGAATGAGAAAGAAATGAGAAAGAAACGTTTTTAGTTTTCAATGAAATTATTCAAATAAAATTTCACCTCTTTTCTAATGATCTATTTCAGCAATCAAAAATTCGTCCGAAAAATTGATTCATTTGGTTGAGATCGTATTGATTGTTTGGGGAAGACACATTCGGTTCATTCGAAGTTTCTTCACCCAAATTATTATTACTGTGTTTGAGAACACAGTAAATGCAAGTGAAATAGCAGTAATAATTTCATGTGCATAGAGAATTTGTTAGTGGAAAGTTGAAATAATCAGTGAGTATTTTAATGAACTAACCGACGACTCGTCGAGAGTTGAACATGTCGATTGAATAATGCAAACAACTTATTCAATTAATACTCATTCATGAAATGTGTACTTAATAAACTTTCAGAGGGACTTTGTGCGTCTTGTCGAGCGCTTTGATAGTGCGCTGAACGCGTTACGTGCAATGATGAGCAGAGATGGTACGGATAATGTGGATTTACAAGAGACTCAAGAGCAGCAAAACACTGATGACGGTCATCCTGCTGATCACCAGCATTGATGACGACTTTGTTTCATCAACCATAACACAACTTGTTTCCTCTCTCTACCTGCCTTTCAGTTTCACTTCGCCAGATGTCTTGTATTCGTTTCTGTGAAACACTTTCGAAGTAATGATGCTTGTCGAGTTGACACTGCAAAGAGTATAATATAGTGTGTTGGTTGCTACGAACCGTAAGGTTGATTTTCAGCGATTGTGTTCACAATGCTTCGGTGTGGTCATTAAGGAGGTGATTTGCAGTTGTCGGGCACCAATAAACTGTTTCTGATGCAAACATTCAAACTGAAATCAAGTGAACTATTTCTTGTAATTCCCGTTGTACTCTTAGTTCGTCAGTTTTATAACAAGCATCACTCCAGTCAAAAAAAATTATGACATGACTTCAAGATATGTATAACAGGCTGTAGTTTTTTTCGATTTTGACTTTCATCACTGTTCAACTAAACATTTAGCTGTTATATTTGTTGTAATTGTCGGTGATATGACATTGATCGATTAAATCAAATCAGTCATCTATATTTCTGGGAATTCATCCAATAAACATTTTCTAAAAGTACGACTGTGCTCATTTCTGGGAATTCATCCAATAAACATTTTCTAAAAGTACGACTGTGCTCACCATAGTGAAAATAGTGCAAATAAATTATGAAGAATTCCAATTATTGACTGTTTTTGTTCTCCGCTTCAATTTCGGTCAGCAAAGTCGAAATAGTTTATCACCGATTTATATCAACTAATTGATTTTAACTCTGGCCAGTTAGCAGGTTGGGACTGGATAGTAAAGCGTTTGTTATTCAACATGCTTTGCGCATACTTCTCACTCGTCGCAAGATATGGCTATAATGCAGTTCGCGCAATTAGTTCATAGTGGGAGGACCGGATGAAAGGAATTTGCTTAGCACAGTTGAGCTTACTGAGAGCTACGTTAGTGTGTGTATATGTGTGTGTGTGTTCGTATGCTTCCGCAGCACGCTGGTTTTTGTGGCTTACTAGGAATGTGAAAGCATTGTTTTGAACAATTGAAGTTATGTTAGAAACAAACTAGTGCTGAACAAAAATCGAGCAAACAACTGAACTCGAACAAGCGCGAACGATGAATACACGAATAGAGCAGTTCATCCGTGTTGCACATAACAGACTGGTTGCTGCTAACAAAAGACAGAATGAGACGTATGGGACGCGATTAAATGAAAGGTTAAATGGTTGTTTGATAAGACGGGAAGTAAGTTTAGTGTTGCGCCGCGCTGAGGATTTTCACTGAGCTAATAAGTGAGAAGATGTTTCATGCATATCCAACTATTAGGGAATGTGATCAATTAGGTGACTAATGAAAATGATTTTCACTATACAGTTATAAATTTGAAAGGTAAATTTGATAGTGACCATTTCATGGCGATGATTTAAGAAGTAATAATTAAAAATTTTCGTTTTGTTAGTGTTTTGCATGAGGGATAATGAATCTGTAATTGTGATTTAATAATTTTTATATTGGCTGGTTGTATGAATGCGTTCGGCAAATGACTAGAACTTCTTAGTGAACCGCTTCTTTATTACATGATCATGCCCTCAAACTACACTTCATCTTTTCGCAAAATCACTTCAAATAAATCGGTGATAGAAGTATCCAAAAACAAACGAACAAAAGAATAAGATTCGGCGATTCATGATAAGAACGAACGTGTATACTATAGGATTGCGTAACAAAAAGAATATCATTGTTTCTTAGTGATCCACTCATCATCATCACATTATCGTCATGAGAAATGATAACATTCGTTTATTACTCAATGCGAATAAATTAACAGACAATTTGAATGTACGAGTAAAAATTGGGTGTAATATGAATGGTTACTTTATGAATGATTAATCAGGACGAATATCACACCAAAAAGAAGAAGTTTTATCAGAATACTAACAATAAGTAACGACTTTCACTCAACTTTGTTCAATGGCATGTTTCTGTTGATTCGATTCATTTTTCAAATTTCAATGTGAATCGACAACAGTTAACTGTTTAGCTGAACTAAAACGATCAAAAAGAGATTCATAAAGAAAAACAAAAAACATTTTGCTGAAGAAAAAATATTTTCGGTTCTAAAATAAGCGATAAAAAGATCAAACAGAACGAATTTTAATCAAAAAAAAATCGGAGCACTTTTTACCAATCTTCCAAATAGATGCATGACGTGATTGTTAATTACTTTTTTATCCTCACTTCATAACTGGAAGATGGTCGCGTATTCAGTTCGAATGACAATGCAATCTACAAAGTTTCAAGAATGAATCGCTATTACGAACAACTAACAAAGATACACTATCAAATGAATAAAATCGAAAACCTTCACATTGCCTTCGCCATCATCGTAGTATAAAATTTTGAAGAGACGATACGGAACACTTTCAAGATATTTGCAATATCTAATTCTGTGTAATACTGTAATTCAATTGGTTCTATTCTCAAAAGAAAATGCATCACAAGTATCAAGATTGGCAACAGAATTCGCTGCGGTGTCTTTCATGAAAACCTTATAAAGCTGAACGAAACATCGCAATGTGTTAACATTATACATATGTATGTGTTAGAGCAATATCCTTTATAGTGGGTTTCTTCTATGTCATTTCCTATAAGTCGTGTTGCTAAGAAATGCGCATAAAAGACGTTGCTTAAGCTGTACTTTCGGATCTTTTCCTCTCTAACAACTTATTATCATCATTATTGCATTTCATTGATCGAAAGTGCTTTTCGTACGATTAATTATGTTCACTTTTGCTAACGAATCATAAAAGTTCGCGTTGTTTCCTCTCATTTACATTTTTCACTGAAACAAAAACCTGCCGTTAGTGTTGAATTTTACACTACTGAAATTTTCATAGCTGACTCTTTTTCGTCAAAAAAAAGAAATTTGTATATCATTCCCTTATTTGGGATAGATCTAAATATAAAAAGAGAGCTTAATGATCTCGATAAGTTCTTACAAATGATGCATAAATTTTCAGCAAAACGAACGTTGCATTCAGTCTCGAAAACTTCGGCGCTCTAACCTTCATTACAACGTAAGGAGTGCGATCGAAAAGAATTCGAAAAGCTCATAACCATTGATTGACATAAATGAAGACAAACTGCAAGCATAAACAGATGTATTTCAATAACACACAAAATTGATGAAACAAAACGATAAACTTGAAAAACAATAACAAATATCAACAGTACAAATCACAACATCGTCAGTAAAGCGCAAAACAATATAACAATAGTAACAACAAATGATGTACACACGAAAACTGTTTAGATGGATGATCTATCAAGGAAACAAAATGAATCGATGTTATAAAGAATTAGCTAGCCACTGATTGAAATATTCACAGTTTTCAGGTGCAATTTCATCACCAGGAATACAATCAGATAGTAACGGGCAATATAAACACGGTAGCCGTGAAGTGGCGCATCGTGACGGAGAATTGCCTAGAGCGCGATACATACCATCGGAACGTTGTTCGATGGCACGATCGAGAACGGCAATTGCAAGAACGCTCTCGATATCGTTCAACGATAGCTGCACACGACAAACACCTTTATCACGCACGAACTGAGCGATGTCCGATGAGCGAACATACGAATATTCACGTGCTGTTGATGGATCTCCTCTATGCGTTTCTTCTGATTGCTTCCTTTTGCTCTACATATCAAATTTGTTGAGAATTATCTCTCTATTAAGATATATACAACCTTTTGCTTTTTTATTTTAATTCACTGCCTTTCAACAGTCATGAAACGACTGAACAAAGATGCAGTGGAAATCCGCTCTTTTCATCAAATTGACCGAGTGAATCAATAATTCGAATAATTCAGTTTATTCAATAAGAGCAATACGAAAGAAATAAAGGACGATACACATGAATAATAACATTAATCAGTGTAACTGATAGGACATTCTAATCGACTGATCAGAAATCAGCACTTGAATAATACTGAATGTGCTTGAATATTCTTAAAATTATATAAAGATTACCTGTAACATACTGACACACAAATGGACGAGAGTCTGAACAAATTGTGAATCAAGTTGTTGTTCTGAATAAAAAGCACCACCCGTTAAAGATTCGTCTGCTTCAACATTATACAACATATAGCATTTCTTGGATGTGCCGATTGCCTTTAATGTTCAATAACAAAATTCAAGTTAAACAGCGCGAAAATTTAATCGCTTCAACTTATGAACGGAATTAGAATAATCACTATGAACAACTCTGATGGCTCAGAGACACTCAGAAGTGCTTACTGAAATTCTTACAGTTGTAATAAATTAATTGGGATATTTATTCTTAAAAGTAACAATGACATGGAATCTCCCATTATAAATTTCATGGATTCCATGCGATAATTGAAGCATCATCGAACTTACTTTAACGAACTTAACCAATTTCCGTTGCTCGAGTACCTTAAGGGCCTTTCGTACCTGAGTCTGAGGTAGACCTGTACGACTTCGTATTTCACGAATCCATATACCCATTTTATCAGATTCCTCGATAAGGGAGTATATCTAAATTTGAAATAATGTGTCATAATGGTCATCTGAAAAACATCTACAAAAAGTTTNAGTGCGAAAAGCGTACTAATTGTTCTTCAGGGGAAGCATCAGCTATTTGTGTACCTCTTCTGATTCGAAGCGAGAACGATCCTTGTTTCGTACCAGGTAGCATCTCGACTTTGCCCGACGATAACAAACTGTTTACTGTTTCACCACGTACTCGTCCCTCCATTGCAGCGGTCATTTGAAGCAGTTGCTCGTTGGTCACTCCGTCTGGATGACTCTCCAACAAAGCCATAATCTCACTTTCTGCTCCATTTTTTGGTTCTTCTTTGGCCATTTCTAAAAACAGTTTTAAATAGCACATTCCCTAGATCAACGCACTCATGCTTTTATCTTCAGACTTGCAATTATGTGGCAGTAGTAGCAGTGGCGTAGTAAGAGGGCAGGTTCTTCTCCCCCATCCTTTCCTTTTACCCATCCTCTTTCCACTTCATTTTCCCTCTCTTCTCCTTTCTTTTTTGTTTTTCTTTCTCTTTTCTTCTCCCTTTTCTTTCGACCTCATTTCCGGAAGGGGGGAGGGGAAGGGGAGAGAGAGCGATTGCTCCCTCTGGATCCAAAATTCTAACTTAGACGTCACGACCACCCACCTTTCACTTAATCATCCCTGACTAGTTTTGTATACAAAGTTGTCCTTTGTAAAAAAAACTGGTACTTTTGCTGATAACGGGCGACACCGCGTCATCACGGATACTCGTATGCTCATACGCTTCTCACATTAGTTGAAGCCTCTAGGCGTTAGCCTCATCACTGGGCTAAGCGTAAGTCTAAGCTTAAGCATACTCCTGATTTGACTTCGAATTGCATAGGTACACATCGGACAAAGTGGTAACCTAAGCATATGTGTGCAGTGACGCCCATTACCAGTAAAAGTGCTAAAAAGCTGAACTTCAGCTACTTCGAATAAATTGATTAAATAACAAAAAGGTGAACCATACTTTGAATAAACAAGCCCAATTAAACTGTAAGCGTTAACCGAAATTTAATCATTTGTTTAGGTTTTATGTGATCGTGAGTCAGTGAGCCTAGTGTAATCGGAACACCAAGCCGACGTTTCTTTGCACGAACATGCATACAAGAGTGATTATCAAAGAAATCAACGTTCTGAAACATGTGAAAATTCTCATGTATTAAATATACAGTACATCTCAAGCGAATCTTTTTCAGCACTCAGATGAGTTAGGATGACTAATATACAAATGACTAATAAATACACAAATCATTCCAATTCCAGCTAATTAATTCCGATCGAATGGATGACTCTGCGAAGAGGTTACGACGACAATTTAAACTCTTTAAAACTACTTCACCTATAAGGTCTGGGTTTTGTGAACACATTACGGAATGATTGAAAAACTCTCCACTGCTAATTGTCTTGCAACCGTCATACACTTCATGTCTTCTGACTCTCTAATCATTTTTGCAGAGTGTCCCGTCTCACTCACTAACTGAAGTTATATTTTATGGGTGGCCGAAAAATACGTCCGCGACAAGACTTTGCAGTATTGTTTTTTTCGTGATGGCTACTTTTCGTATGTGTTTTTCGCATATGGCTTAGTTCTATTGCGATAAAGGTGGTGAGAAGTATCGCAATTTTGTGCATGTCCCTCCGTGGAAGACAGAGAGAATTTCAATTACTTCGGTGTATATATACCAATTGTGAGCATTGAGCATCAGCACTGATCACACCAAGCGGTATAACCCTTCTAACTTAACATTTGGCGTCAAAATTTATTGCATTTTTGGAAATTACTCATTTTCGGCTACAAAATGATATGCAACTGCATTCTTAATTTTTTCTCCCAGGACGAAGAGAATTTCAATTACTCCAGTATATAAGCCAATTGTGACTGTTGAACATCACCACTGATCACACCAAGCGATATAAATCTCCAAACTTAACATTTGGCACCAATGCTTAATGCGAATTTCTATAGTACTCAATCTCGGCTATAAGATGGTATAATATCATCGTTATAAATTTTTCCCGTCGAGTGGGTATCAGTTCAAATTATTCATTAAGCTGTTGCACTTAAAGCGGAATAGAAAATCTCGAAAATATCTTAATTATTGCCCACTCTGCATATCATGTTTCATTTTACTAGATCTGCGCTACAAAACGATAAATTTCCCGTTTAATGAGTAAGAGATTCACATTTCTGAACACATAAATGCGAGTTTCGTCACTTGGCGAACTGTCACTGTGTGCGCACTTGGCGAACTGTCAGCATTCCAATTTTAATGAGGTAATGATGATATGGTTTAACTGGGTTTGGAGGAATTGAAGTGATTCCAATTTTATTATAAAATTTAACGTTCTCATCTGGGTTATCCTACGTGCGAACCGTATCAAATGGTTGACAGTACTGAATAACGTGTTTCAATAGATTTTGAGTGTTAGGTTTAATTACGTAATCCTTTTAATTCAAAATGAGTTTACGAAATTCTCATTGTAGTTGGTGTGCGAAATTTAAGTTGACGATAATCACCTGGATTACCTGGATCGGCCAGGCTATTAAACTTTATAATGTTGCTGGCCACAGTGCTCGCGTTTCCGTGCGCATTGTTTTAGCCTCAATTTACGCCACCCCGCTGGCTAGGCGAGCAGGCCAACCGAACAAAACCGAGTAAATAATTAGTCGCCGTGAATACTTTGCATAAATAAACGCAGTCAAATACCAATTCAATAAATAATCATTACTCTAATAAAATAAATATTCCGCCGATCGCTCACAACGATTGACGAAACAACCACTCGATGTCCAAATAATAATTGATAATCAAGTTGACGATAATATACGATCAAAATTCGATTCCTGTGCAGTCTGAGTGGAAGTTGGGATTTGTTGTGGAAGTTTGTCTTTATTGCCGCAAGATGTTCCAATTAACGCATATCTCGGATCGTGGGAGTGTATGCTACGTTCAGGAAATTCACTTCTCTGTTGCTGATAGATGAAGTAAATTCCTGTCTGTAATCGACTTGATGATTTTATATCATTGCATTGTACGAGTTTAGTGTTCAAGAATCGACATGTTTTGTTTTTACAGCTGTCTGCTGCAGTCGATAATTTCGTGACATTTCGTTGATCACGCGAGCAGCACAATGGGCGACTGGGGTAAACGAATACTCAGAAATTTTCTTTATTTTTTGTTACGCTTAGAACTTAAAAACTTTTTATCTTCACTGTTAGAGTGTCAAGCTTGTTTTTGTAAAATTTCATCAAGTATCACAAATTTTAAACTTCTTCAATCGCTAGAATCGGTAGTTATTCAAATAATTTGACAAATAATTTGGAACTGTGATACTAACAAAGTGCTAGGTAAGTCCTTATAAGAAATAAAGCCTACGATGGACTAATGCATGTAAAGGTTTTTTGTTATAGATGATGACGATTTCGAAGTGGATGTGAAGCAGTTGGACGAGAAGAAGGTAACCGTCATTGAGGAAGTAGAAGATGAGAAACCGGAGGAACATGTATGTTTGTAAATTACTTGCTCAGTTAAATTGAACCTTTATTGACAGTGGTTTACTGAATGCATTTAGTGTTTTATTTATCGAATTGTGTCAGTAAGGTGACTAATCAGTATCAACATTCACTTTGGTAGGTGCCGAAGCCACAGCCGCCATCAAAGGCGAAACCGAAGTCGAAGGCGAAGGATGCCTTCAAATCGTTAGCCAGTGATTTGGGTCGTGAACTCACTGAGAAGGAAAGGGAGGAGATGCAAAAGAAGAGTGATCTGGGTTTCGCAAAAGATCTTTTTGGTGTGTTTATTTCGTCATTCCAACGTGAATACATTCTGCTTTTTCATTGAAAAGTTCATTCATGATTTTAAGATCCGTTGTAATGTGAAATTTTGAATAAATGCAGGCACGAATGATGATGATGAGCCAATGTCATATATGGATATAACGACGGTGGAAGAGTTTCGATCGTATGGAGAAGAGACCGGATTGATGCTAGCAAAAAGAGCAAATGCAACTCATTATGTTGAAATGATGAGTGTGCTTCTTAGAGTAGCGCTCGAAAAATGTACGTTTATACCTTTCATTATTACTGTTGCTAGGTATTTGTGCGATCCTTCAAGCTGTTTGCGAATCGAGGGGATCAAGCAAGTGATCATTTGCTGAAAACTGCGAAGGATGAGATTAATGCTTCACGAATCTCATTCGATTTACGTATTTCTGTGTTGCTTAGCATTTTAAGGTGTCGTTGCAATACAAAATGTACTTTTTATTTTCTGCTCTATTCATTCACTTTCATCGTCAATAGTCATCATCAGAGGTTATGTTCATTGATGAAGTGTTGCCCTCAAAACTGATTTGCGCTTTGAATGCATTCGATTCATCTTCATCTTTGCTTTTTTCCTGAAACATTTCTCTATATATTCATTCCCGAATCATCAGTATACTGGCGGTTTTCTTGCCAAATAACCACACAACTAATGCTGAGCTTAATTTTTATAGAAACATTAGCACTTTCAAGAACACAATTAAAATTTTCAGTAGATGCCAACAAAACAAGGCAGCTGAGTACAGAGTTGAAAAAAATCGCGGATGAGAAGTCAGCTGCTGAAAAAGAGGAAAAGGTGAGATGTTTGGTAATTTAAACAAAAACGAAACATGAAATTCTCAAATGAGAACTGTTCAAATAACCACAAATTTACAGAAAGCAAAAGGTAAAGGTGCATCCGCAAAACCAACGATGAAAATATCTCAGAAAACGAACGCAAAATTGAAAGTGGATGCATATGACGATTATGATGGTAATGATGATTATGACGATTATGATGATTTTATGTGACTGATTTATCACATTATTAACCTATGAACATAATTTTAATTGTACGCAATTCTATCTGTTAATACTGGTGATATGTGACAAAAATGTTCCGAATTTATGTTTTTAATATCATTATCATCAGTATCATATAATTTGATCGCGCTTCACCGCATCCACTCTGAATTCTATCTATACAAAAGTGTATTGAGTAGCACCAGTACCATAGTGTGCTAATTTTCTCATCGCTCAAACGCCAATTCCATGTTTTTCGCTGTATTCTGTTCATTTCATTTCTGAATCGTTATTTTTCAGCGTCTGTTATGATCGTTTGTGAAGGTTAATGCCCGAGTAAATCTGAATAATGTCTGCAATTAAGATGGTGCAGTTTCTTTTCAGTCAGAAACTAATGAATATTCACTTCGTATATCTTCCATCCTTAGACAAGGTTTGTAGTGAAGATTCTAATGAATATAATGCGCATGTAAATTCGCAGCAATTTTTCTCGAAACGTAATACTATTGGGTTATCACTTGAATGCTAAAAATTTTACTTTAGTGACGCATTCGGAATAAAAGCACCAACTTATTGCAGCGGCCAAGACGATGAAACTATTGCCGTGTTTTTAGGGATAGATGAATGAATTAAGGATAACCATTTTGTTTCACTTATTAGACGATAACTGTTCTGTTCTTTCGTCGTCTTCTTTGAAACGAGTTCAGTATGTTAATGAAATAAATAATAAGCGTGTATTCTCCCAAGTACTTGTTCACGTATAAATTATGTCGCTACCTGCCATCTGATTGATATTTTCTAATCGGTCTTCTTCTGTTCACTGGATTGATTTTTTATGCTTTTTCTCATGTGAATGGATGCGTATGGATTCTTGTTCACCACATGAATGCAGTAGTTCCCTCTGCAGGTGTACTGTTAAAAAGCTGGAACTCGTTCTTTTTCTTTCAATCGAGTTGTCAGTGAACATCATGAAACATTTTGATGGGCTATCTTTGTGCACATGTGCTAAATATGGTGATGCAGTTGGGAAATTAGTGCTGTATGTTTGGTTCGATAGGTGTTTCTGATTCTCGAAATTTCATTCTTTTAAATGAAACATATCGTTGAATTTCCGTCTGATCGTTTGTAACGTTTCAAAGAAAGTATCGTGTTGAACGAGAATGAATGTATTCATCTCTTATGAAATGCACACGGATTTCATTTCATCAACTTGTTTACTTTATCAGTATCCGATCATTACATCCACTTGTTGTGTTGTTATGATACGCCGCTTGTTTCTTACAAATCGAATCGCTGTCTTTGTTGCCATTTTTGTTGCATATAACATTGTTGATGCCTTCTTATCAAAAATAATTTAGCATTATTCTCTTGAGTCACGCAAATACTGTATGCGATTTGTTTTCGGAATATTGCCATTCATTACTGCATCTGGAATCCGGTGAGAGGATAGAAGTCGAGTGGATTTTTTGTGATAGCCAACGATTGGGTTCATGCGACCATTTGTTGGCAGTTTCGAGGTGTACTAATACGCGTAAAGTGTTGTTGTTGTTATACTTATAATAATAATAATAATAATAGATTATTTTATCACGTCACCAACAAAGTACTAAACTTACGAGAGCGATCGTTTCGCATGCGGCCTTTAATTCGTTCATCTATGCCATTTCAAGTTTTATTTGTTCTTTTTTTCGGTGGCATGTTACTGACGTATAATTGATAAATGTCACTGAGTAGCGAATAAACTATTCATTGGGTATAAATGGTATTGTTTTTGAGTCGTTTATTTTGAGATTTACTTTTATGCGGTTCGTACTACCAACTTTCTATTGAAAGAAATATGACGTTTAGCAATTGTCTTTACCAGTTGATGTAAATTGTGGATAATGGACTGAAGTTTTGTTAATACGGTGAGGAAATTTATTATTGTTGGTCAGTTTGGAGAAGAAACCAGTGCTTTTGTTCGAAATGAAAAAATATGTTTAATGAGTAAATTTATTTTTGGAAAATGGTGATGGTTGACAATTTAGTGATAGATGATTATGACGAATGGAGAGGAGTATGTGCTGGAGTATGATCAATTTTTATGTGCTAGAGTACAGAAGTGGATTGAAGGAGGAAGTAGTGTAAGCGATTGAAGTGGAACAACACTACATTGAATGTTTGGTGACAAGTGACAATTTTAATTATGGATGATCCGAATATAAAGAAACGAAGTGCTCCACTAAAAGTACCAGCATTATCGCTGTTGGGGCAGAGCGATGCAATAGATATTCTCGCGTGGGAAGATGACGATATAGGTATGGTTTATCTCGGTATCAAGTGATTACTCTATTCAAATGAAGTGGAGCATCGTATGATTCAATTGTGGATCTACATCATACAATTACCAATCATTTCATTATGTGGTTGTCAACTGGAACCAGATGGCATAACTAGGAGGGGGTGAGGTGGGGGTGGAAGAAAGGGATAAAAGATGAGAAAAGGGCGATGAGAGGAAAAAATAAACGCAGTCCACACCAAATTCGGCTATTTTTTGGATCGGATCATTTTCCGATCCCTGCCCCCCCACCTGCAAAAAATCCTGGCTACGCTTTTCAATGGTTCGCCGTTCTCTTGGTCATTTAAATAGCAACGTCCGAAAGCGTTGGCATTTCAAAACTTTAATCTGTGGATTTTAAAAAATTAATCTGTGAATCTGAATTTTGATAACCATAAATTCTTATTTTAACCTAAAATTTGAGTTGCTTGGAAGAGTAATACAGCAAATGGACTTTTACTAGTCGAAGAAACAAGTGTTTATTGACAGGACGTTGTATTAATCTGTTTCCAGAGAAATTAGTTCTTTTGGTTGAAGTTAGCTGTTTCAGCATTAGAGGCGTCAGCCACACGCAGTCGGCTTCCGTTTGATAAGCTCACCTCTCAAGAATTGGCATGCTTTCCAGATATTGTTGCGGATCAGTATTCTATATCGCTCTATTTGTACATTCGAAATAAAACGGTTCGTCCGAGCTCTTATTTGAATCTAGTCACTTCTAACTTTATTTGAGCGTCTTTCACTGTTTATTTCAAAATGAATCCTTTTATGAGTTTGTCCGTATTCTGCGCTTAAAAAGTGGTCGAATGAAAATCTAAATGAACTCAATAAATATGCGATAATGCTCGCTAGTAACTGTAATACTGGATCAGCAGTGAGCTTGCGCGATCTCCTTGCGTTCAGCAGAAAAATACATTTTCAAAACCGATCTCGTATTATGACCGATCAGTTATTCACTCTCTATCATTTTTTTGTTCAGTTAGCAATTTGGCACCGTTCGCCAATGAGAGAAGTGACCCATGAAATGGTTTTGAAGCATTTACCATCACCGTATGATAGTAAGTTGATTGATTTCATTCGAATGTATGTCTGGCTCATTGTTTGAGGGAAATTAGAAAATGAAATGTTCTTTTCAGTGACCATTAAGAAGAATAATATTGAGAAACAATCATTTGATGCATCGAATCGGAATGAGTGATTTTCTTGCCATTGCAAAAAAGCGGGATCTTTCTCACACACCAGTAGTTTTTTCATAATAGCTATAACAGTCAACGTTTTTTCCAAATGTCCAGCAGCTGTGATGTTTTATATTCTGTGGCAGTTCTTTAGGCTGCATCTTATCGTGGATCAAGTTAACATTTTGTTGGAATATTTTCGTTTGCAGGCGATCAGTGTCTGACGTATCGTGTGCACGCTTTTCTTCAGCGGTACGGCTACATCAATTTTGGAGTGTTCAAACCTCGAAAAGGTCTTTTATAGCAGATTATCTTTTATTATCATACATCTCAATTGGAATAATCGTTTAGATTATGTATCGATTTAGTCCAGTTGTATTGAAGTAATTTCCATCAAGCTGATTAAGTTTCTTGAACTGACTGATCCGATTGGCCTATTGGTCAAAATATCCATTTTCGCCATTCTTGAAAATTACCGGCGAAGACTAGTTTTTTAAAGTGCGAATTTGGTGATCAATATGCAGAGCAGATTAAGTGACATGTGTCACCGCTGGCTTGAGTGATAAATTTAAATTCACTAAGGAGACAGCTAATATCAAATACTGATCGGACTGATTCTGTTTCAGATGTGCGATACTGAATTTGCACACGTTTTCATTTTTACTGTAACAGTATTCAAAATGTCAAAGTTTTTAAAGTTAATTACATTCTCAAACAACTTCGAACCGTTTCTTGTTGCATACGATATAAGTTACTTATTCAAATGATTGCTCATTGAAGTCGTTTGAAAAATTCATCAACTAGCTAAATTTAAGCTAAGATGCCGCATTCCACGAAGCGTGTGATTGTGATTGGTGCGGGTGTAGCCGGTTTGGCAGCTGCACGTCAGCTGAAATTTTTCGGTTTCGATGTTACTGTCTTGGAAGCTCGTGTATGTTTTCAGTTTTCAGCCTCATTATAATTCACCATTTGAGTAATTGACTTTCCAAAAGAATGCGAATAATGTGATCTTTTTCTCGTTTAAAAGTTCAATCAACTAATCTACTGTTTTGCCTTAATAGTCACGAACTGGTGGTCGTATCTCGACATACCGAAAACCGTCAACTGTAGCTGATCTTGGCGCCATGTTTGTCATGGGAACGGGTAAGTTTTCAAGTGATTCTACATATTGAATGTCCTTTCTCATTTCATCTGCTGGATTAATTTTATAAGTTTTGCATTCATTCACGTCTTCCATACTGCATTAGGCTGATAATCATGATTAAAATCAATAAATGGACTAGTACTTAGGATGCATTTCTATCATAGTACGATCAATCAGTCTTAAATAAAGCGATCATCATAATCATCTCGAATTAGTCAAACGTGTATGAAACAGTCCTCAGTTTGTTACCTATTGGCATTCGCTCAAATTTCGTTGTTTTTTCTCAAACAAATATGTAGTTAAATAAGAGTGAATGATGTTAATCATTCGCTTGCAGTCGGTAATCCAATTGAAACGTTGTCACGGCAGATCGGTTTAGATCTTCAGCCAGTGGAAGCGAGTGATTGTCCAATTTTCAATCATTTTGGAGTTAAAGTTGGTCTTTTTGCACAATCTATAGAGAGCCAAAGAATCATTTCGTGTTCAACATTTCGAACTTATTTAATTTAATTGTTATTTTTGTATTCACGTTTTTCTTTGAAGTATCTTTGTATAATATAATGGAGAAATTTGGACTGCAGTTTCAAAATGAGTAGTGTTTCATATATTTCACATCTCAGCAATCAAAAAGATGGCCTGTTTTCCTTCGAATTCCGCTCGTTCAGGTACCTAAAAAAAGAGACAAAACAATAGAGTCACACTTCAACGATATTGTTTCAACTGTTGCGTATATTGCTGAAAATCCGTCGCTTTGTCAAATCTCCAATGAAAACGTTAACTTAGCCGAGGCGTATGAGACTGTGATGGTGTAAGTTTCAGTTTGGATTGATTGGTTTTGTATTGTTTCTTTCACGTTATAAAATCCAACTTAAACATCCTAAGTGAGCGAATTCTTCGAATGAATTATGTGATCAATTGAATATCTCCATCTGCAATAAAATTACTTTCCATAATTCCGTTTATTGGTCGATAACCACCGCTAATATGTGGCCTTCTTATCAAATCATCAGTGTGACATTTTTCAAGCAAACACCCTCTTTAGTGAGCATTTATTCAGTTCTTATGAAATATATTATAAGAATGCTGACTTGTCTCGATTACAGACAACTTGAAAAGCGACATCAAACAAAAATACTCAAATATTGGCAAGATTATCGTAAAATCCTAGAAAAAACAAAATCAATCCGTCGAGCAGTTAGTTGAACTCATTCAATTCATTTTCCTAAAATTTCTATCATTGTTTGAAAATATTATTCTATAAAACAAGTTGATAGGTGTAGGCTCATTAATGATTAGCACTAACTGATGCTTGACGTCAGTGTTTCAATGTTCAGTTACTTTTTTAGTTGAATTTGTACTGCTGCACCTTCGTAAAAAGATCCTCGATATAGTTTACTCACAAAAAATCGCTAGAGTCTCATTCGGAAGAATTACGTTTTGTTTTTGTTGATTGCATTACAAATTTTGAAAAAGAGGATTAATTTTGATTTGATCAAGGTGATTCTGGAACGGATGTCAATGGAAAAATTAGAGTTAGCGATTTCAAGCGTTAATGAGCGTTTGAAAAATGCTTCTAATGAGAAGGAAATAACAACGGCAAATGCAGAACTTGATTTACTCTATACTGAACTTAAAGACTCCGTTAGAGTAAGTGAATGAATGCTTTTCTTCGTTCTATCATTCCTCAGTTTTGTTCTATAATTGCTCATCTATCATCGATCACTGCAAAAATTTGAATTCATCAAATTGTCATTTTTATTGTTAAACTCTCAACTTCTAAAACTAAGTTCCAAAAGTGCAGCTAAAACTGAATCGTTTCAACAGTGAATCCGTTTTGCGGACGTTTTATGATGCTTTCACGGTAGCGTAAGGTAAGTGCTAGGATGAGGAGACCAAAGGTTGCCGTATCAAATTAGATTTTGATGAAATCACACATACATATTTACTTATTTTTTCTCGTCATCACATTATTTCTAGCGATACGACGCTGGTGAAAAACGATTAAATCAATTAAAAGTATTGCTTACCGAACTCAAAAAGCAAGAACCACCGTAAGTTTTGCTTGCTTATGTTCATTTGAACTAGTATGGTAGATACTGATTTAGTTATCTTTTTCGAGTGTTGGGCAGTTCGTTTTCTGTCGTGAAAATTTCCTGGAAATCTACTTTGAAGAGCTTCCCGTCGATAAAATTTAAAGTCACTAGTGTTCTGCTCAAAAACTTACACTGTTCTAAAAGGTTTAATAGTTGTAAGATAACATATTTCATTTTTGTACTGAAGGATCTAAAAGGTTATTGGTTTGTTTACGATTATTACGGTGCACATTTATATATTCTATTCATCAAATTCATTCATCTGATTGCGCCTTACTAGTAGTTTCATTATTACGTTAATAGTATTATTATTATTAATTATTATTATTTATTGTTGTTATTAATTATTATTTATTGTTGTTATTATTATTAATTATTGTTATTATTTATTATTATACATCTAATCCATGTTTGAGTACTGATCTGCCTTCATATTTCATTCATTGATTAATTCTCATTCTTCACTACCTCATTTGTTGAACGAACAATTTCGACCATTTAATTCGCCAGACGACCACTAAATCCTCGTTGAATTTCATGAAAACATATTCATGTTTATGTGTTCTCCATTAAGGAGCACTTGCTCAATATACATCGGACAAAACTGCATACACATTTTTCGATGGCACTCAATTGTTGCACCCATTTGTTTTATAACCAAAAAAGGGATGAATATAATTGGTGACAATCTGAGCAAAAATATTAATAGCAATGAGATTGTAAGTGATGAAGATGCATTAATTCAATGCATATTGATTGCTTTTTTGATGATCATTTAGTGCCATGATCATAAAAAACAAAATGTTAATCTAATATTACATTATGCTCACAAGAAGCAACAAAAGCTTTGTTATTTCAAGAGTTATATTTTTTCTAGCATTTCTATTCTCCATTCATACAAGTAAGTTTTTCTCAAAATTGTCACTTCTCAGATGAAGTGTAACAAAAAAATTGGTTCAATTCATAGTTTAAAAATTTTCATTTCATCATAATACATAACAGAAGTGCAATGAGTAATAGAGGCATAGATTCATAGAACAAATATCGTTTCGTTAACATTAACGATTATGATGCGTAAACAGTATGTGAAGAAGAATGGTAATCGTACAATTACCAATTTTTTTGGGATAATTTCTTGATTATTCTCAATCAGTTATTGAAAAATGCGATGAAAAATTCAAGATTCTTTTCCCTTTTCCCTTCACCAGTTTGATCGTTGCATTTCTCCGTAATTTCACATTTTCATTCATTCAAAATGCCTCATCAAATCTGCTTTTTTTTGTTTTGATCATTTTAATTTGCTAACTGTTATTGATAGCCTATCATCACATGTTCCATTCATCGAAAAAAAAAACAGTTGGAACAGTTGATTATGTCCAAATGGATGATCGTTTCATGCATTCACAATTAATTGTGTTAATCGTTGTTTCAGACCACTGCATATGAATGAAATGGACAGATCGATCATCAATTTTCATTTAGCCAATCTGGAATACGCAATTGGAACAACGCTTGAAAATTCGTCAATGAAAGATTGGAATCAAGATGATGATTACGAATTGGATGGACCGCATTGTATGGGTAAGTCGAGTTTGTTTCAGAGTTTTTTGACCTTTTCATTGTTAAGTGTTAAGTGCTTTATAAATTTCCTTATTGACGTTAATTACTTATTATACTATTTGTCCTTAGGGGCACTGAGCGTCACCATATCTTTTAAAAATAACCACATTAAAAATCATGTTGCTACGCAAATGAAGAGCAATTATCATAAATCTGAAAGAACTTCGTCGAAATTCGATTGAACTATTGTTGTGTTTGGTTGTACACAAAACCGTCAAAATATTGCAAGCATCAAACGTCTTTTATGAACTCTTTTATTTTTTTATCGCAGTTGATCGTAAATTTTGAAAAAAGCCCGAAGGTCCCAATCACGTATCCCACCGCAGACGCTCAGTCGTAACTTTCAAATGCAGTATGAACGGAAGGTGTTGTTTTTGTGTGCTTTGTGGCTCTCGTGAATAAATGCTTCGTTCAGCATTCACAAATAAGTATCGCTTATGGATGAGAACTGATGTTTGCTTGCAATTTGCGCTTTTTCATTGAATCCTTCATTCGTAATAGCCATTTGCTGTCATCTTCGATGATAAGTTTGAATTTTTCGAAATGCTTTTTAGCCAGAAGAAATAACAATTTTTGGTGATTGTTCGCGACCGATTCGAATTCTTGAAAAACATTCGATTCAGCCGATATTGATATGATATTTTGGATTATGCGTAACAATTACTTAGCATTTGGAAATTTTTCGCCTAAAAAATTCATCAAACAATACCACTTATCTCATTACGTGTTGTACACTCGTGAGGTAGAAGCGTATTCTGGCCGCTTCTATCTCACAAATTTCTCGATAAATCCAGCTCGCAGATTTCTCAGCAGTTTTTAACTTATAGTAACTTGCACTTAGAACCTTAACTCGAAGCTTTTTTTTCTAGCGGGATATCCGCAAGGAAGACACGGAAAAAGCGAACATTCAATCCGAAGTTTTGCAAAAAACTCCAATTTTCTAACTCTCTTAAATAGCATCGATGATACACACTCTCGAAAACCAGAGCATTGATGAGTGTGAATCGTTATCCTCATTTGGTGTCACATTCACAAATATATCTCTATTTTTGTTCTTTCATTGTATTCATCAATCTTTTTTTTGGTGAATCAGATCAATCAAAAAATTGTTTTTTCTTCATTCATTTATTTATTCAAATCCTCATTTTCGTCTTTTTAGCAAACCAACAACAAATAACAAAACAAACAATAACTGATACGCACTTCAAACATCATATAATACACATTTTTAAAAATAGAATCAGTTCACAGGGACGGCAACAAAAAATGACTCAGTGCCAAATTAACGAAAATCCTCTACAGAAGAGATGAGAAATGAACGCAAATCATATTTTGCAAAAGCGGAAAACCCTGTTAAAACTGTGTGCGTAAATATTCGTAGCACCGATTGTGTTAATTAACCAAACGGCAAAAATTGCTCATCGTTAAATGTCGCATCAGTGTATGCGTGCAGCGAGATTATTGTGACCTGAGCATCATTACTGTGCTCATTTCTTTTTTGTCATTTACAGTTAGAATTATACTTTGACTTTTTTTGTGCGATTTTATTTGCGCTGAATTCTTACATGCTCAAATTTTTATTATTCGCGTTGGGATTTTTTGATGTGCTTTAAATGTGCAATCTTCAAAGTTGTTTAAAACAAATAATAATTCTACTAGTAATTTTCTGTTGCATAATAATTGTGGAGTGTGCGTTTTAAATACAGCAAAAACAGTTCTTTCATATGAATGCTGATCACGTCTCTGATTTTTGTCTAAACAAAAACAACGAAGAACTTAAATGCTCTCTGCTGTCTTGTTATAATCTTGCTCATCTTGTTCTGTGCATGACTACACGACGACGCTATATGATAATAATAACAAAAGCGGATGAGACTGATTAAAATCAAAAACAAGTGTGACATAATATAAGATTTTATAAGGCCAATTGAGCGTTTACATAAAATGAATAGTCAGTACGTAGTCAATAGTCGCAAGTAGGGCGAAGCAGCGGCTAATTACTCATTTTAGCGTTCAACTTCAGCAAACAAAGTCATAATATTCAATTGTTCTGACATTTCGACCGTCTTCATTTTATATCTCTTTTCCGATAATAACTTTGAACTACTGTCGGGTGTATTCGAATCGAAAAGTATACTTATCCAGTCATCTGTTGTACTCCTACTTTTTCACTGAAGCAGTTTGTTCAACATTCATTCATATTTGAAGAAGTCACGTATGGATTGTTGTCATGACTCGCACTGCTTCAGTGAATAAGTTCTTCTCTCATCAAATGAATTTTCTTTTTAATGGTCGAAATATCAGAGACCAGCCAGTATAGCTGCATAATTTATAATATATAATATACTATAATACAGTGTGTGCGCGTGATAATCACACGTAATAACAAAACGAATAATTCTTTTAAAAACAAAAAATCTCACTGATTTAAGTAAGTTAAGTATGCAATAGCGTTTTGAAAACGCGACTGAAAATCATCATAATGATGGGAAGAATGCTTATTACAATAACAATTGCAGTTAGTGACAATATTTTCAGATCCAGAAAATGACCTGTTTGTTCATCTATAGAAAAGTTTTTCCTTCGGGTCACAATGGTACTCTAAAATCGTATGAAAGGGCATATGTACATAATATATTTTTACAAGGTGTTTTGGCTGTAATAATTCACTGTAACTGTTTTAGTCGTTATCGTAAAATATTTTGGATTATTTTTGTACAAATTCTATGATATTTTCTATTGTGACCGATGTTTATTTATAAATAATGTACTTTTTAAAAAGGCAAAAATAACTCACGCAAATGATTTATTTTTTTTTCGCAGTTCTTATTAAATGTTAGGAATAGATGCGTGCATATGATAATGAGCGTAAGATGAAGGAAGCACACCGGAAGCAATGATAATGAGATGGTTTGTTGTTAAGTAGATAATGTAATCATATAGTACTGTGCATTAAGCCCTAAAACCAAACACCCTTCGTTGTGTTTTTTGGTATTGTTGAGTTCAGAATTGAATTACATTTGCGTACTTTATGATTATACAATATCACTAGGAACAATACTACCGTAACAATCCGAATAGATCTGCGATGAATCAGCACTGCACGACGACGGTGCTAGTCGAATTGGTAACGCTGAATGTAAAAGATTCCAGAATAGTGGATCATTCATTCGTATGCACGTATTCTTTCGTAGTATTTGTCCTAGTTCTGCATCCAGTCGATTCGGCTCGATACCATCACCGAGTAAAGCGATCAATTTCTTGTGTCGGTTTTTGGCGAACAATTGATGTGATGTTTTGATCTGCAGTGAATCATTTTCTTATCTTAATCGTAACTATTTTTTGTTGAAGAAAACTTATTAGGATTAATCTAGAAACGTTACAACTGTAAATATGGTGCTGATTGTGAACATTCCTATGCGTTTATTTTCAGCACGCGTTTGTCTTATTGTTAATAATTTTCCTCTCTATTTGCAAACTACCTGAAGTACCCTCTATAGTTAGAAACAGAAACAGAAAATTCATTTCAGCAAAAATAGTCAATAATTATACGCTGATATGTAAATAAATTGGAAACTGTTAAACGAAGTAGTCTTAGCAAAATCAATTATATTAAGTTCACACAAACCTGTAAGGTTTTCCATTCATTTTCAAGGAACTGCTCAGTTAAAACGAATATCAACGACTGTGCACATTCCATTTGACTGATGAGTTCATCAGAAACAGCGTGCAACCGTGTATTGTATGATGGACCATCCCTGTGCAACAAACACAACAAATAGTCTTCTGCTTCAAGCTGTCTGAAAAGTTTTTCATTATTTCAATGCAGTGATTCGATTTACGCAAATTGCGAATGATGGAGGTAAAAGTGTATTCAGGACAGTAACGGTAGTGACATATCAGTTAATATCAATAGCGTAGTGAAAAAACTTGGTTTTATACAAATGCATGGTATGAATAGATATTGTTGTGAGTAGGAAGTGGTTAACCAACCTGCAGAGTGATTCAATGATAAACTTTTCGTCTTTTTTCGCATAACTGACAAACGCATCAAAATGAAGAAGTGGTAGTGGAGTTGAGCCAGGCGTTGTTTGTGAGCAATTCAACGATGGTGGTGCCTTATAACGACGTTGTGCCATTGCATAATGTGTTCTCTTGAGCAGAGTTATTGCAATGAGCACAAAACCGATGAGCATCGAGAGTACTGCGAATGCAACAACAATCATCAATATTGAATTACTTGCACCTTCGCCACCAAAAATACCGTTCGCAGTTGGCACACAAATTGTACTGAAACTTGATCAATTAGGATATTGTTTGCTCTATTGATTCATTACTTTCCATTCGTCTTTTCTTGATCACATATTTATCCTAAAATCAATATGTCATATTTGCATTCTTGAATCGAACAAAATCATTCGAATTCACGAGTTATTACTGATCGTGAGTCACTAAGAAAAATTTCAAATAATTCTTCCGCTCTTTTGTATATTCATTCATTGAATCAAATAAATATTTTTCTTGTTTATGCACATTATCCGTATTATGTCTGCTGATTGCAAGTCTGTTAAATTCATGACCTTCGTGAATATGAGGAAGGATTATAGAAGAAACAATACTGAGACAAGGGTACTACTAACGTGTTAACACTATTGATGAACTCTTGCATGGGCATTATGAAGATATCATCATTGTCATTCTGATTCGGTGGATAAGCACTCAGAACAGTTGTGTCGTTGTTGCGGAATGCCCATGTGATATTTTCAACACACAGTATATCGTTCGAGTCGATCACTTTGGCAGCATTTTGTGGTAACCATGACTGCATTCGAAAACGATTGCCACAATCACATCGATACGGATTTGCAGATAATGAGACACGTGCTAAACGTTCTCCGAATTGTTCGATCACTGGCGGTAGATCCTTTGAACAGATATCATCAGTATTGTTATTATAAGGAACTTTTCAATGTTTCTATTCTCTGAATGTTACCTAATAATGCCCAGTTTTCAATATGAATCACCAGTGATGCAATTTGTGATCAATTAGCAAATGCTTATTTTGACGTTGGTTTAGTTCAGCAACTTACTTGCAGTTTATTGCCGTGAAGAGTGATGAGCTGTAGTGCAGGCATCACCTCTTTTATTCGGTCATCGAAACTCGATATGCGATTATCATTAAGGAATAGATGTGTCACTTTTTGAGTTCGATACATTTCATCGCCGGTCAGTTGTGTTAATTCGTTCCCGGAAAGATCGAGTAACTGAAAGTGTACTAGTTGATAACTGAAAAATTCAACTACCAAATCATCGATTACTGACCACGAATAGTCAGATTCTGAAGAAAACATCACTGACATTTACCAAACCGAAAGAAGATTCTTAGTAAATGGTGTTTGTCTGACTTACTTGCAACGATGAGAGTGTGTTGAATGCAAGCGGCTGTATTTGGCGAACGGATGAGCTATTAATATAAAGTTGTATGAGTCTCATCCTGCCGAGGAAGTCGTGGCTTCTGATGATTTCGAGATTCATCCGTTCCAAGTAGACATGTGTTGCGTACATTGGTAAATCCTGAGCAGAGATTCAAATCACATTTAGTTAAGCATCCTGTTGAATGCAATAACAATTAAGCTTACGTTCCACATATTCCCGAAGTATAAATTTAGATCATTTCGTTATTTTTCCCAATTATGAAAATTTAGATCAACGCTGAATATGCAGTTTAAAGCCTAGATAAAAGATGAAAATATAATCGTCATTCGCATGGATTATCATTATAACTAATATGCTCATAGACAAACATGCATTTATTCAATATTTTACCCTCGGTGAAAAATTGTTTCGGTCGGTTTGGTTGAGCGCCGAACAGCGAACAATATTCGTTGAATAGGTAGCATCGTGATAACATTCGCATCCATCAGGACATTTCGATTTACAGTCACAGTTACCATATTGACAACAGATGCAGTCTGGTTCACATGTCTGTAGTATTAGAAATTGGTTTCATCTTATTACTCGTCATGATGCGATCATTTTATCACTGTATTATTCATATTCAGTTATTTTGATACTTATTTGAAACAGTCAACATTTCAATTTATAGTAGCTTTCAAGCTTTTACATCGACAGCATTACGTTTCTGCATTTGATATCTTTACTCTCTTTATGCATGAAAATGAACTTGCACAAAGTTAAGGTATTAAAAAGTGAATTCAAAGGAAGGGTTTGTGAGAAACATTTATGACAATTACCTGTCGATAACTGCACAAGAATTGATCTCGAGTGACATGCGCCAGAATAATATGGCGTTTATCAAGACGATGTAAACAGACTGCTTGCTGTTCGTCAACTATTTCGATTACTGATTTACCCTTCAACAAAAAATTTATTATCAAGTATATGTGGAATATATATCATTTCCGTTCTTCTCAGGGCTATTTTGTCATGGAATTGAAATATTCCATAGTATTTTCTAATGAGCAAGAGAAGAGAGCAGTATAATTATGACTATAGTCGGAACTGACCGATGTGGCTGACCGTCGAAGCCAGTCCATTTCACATGTGCATAGAAGTGGATTACCGTCGACGTATAAATGAATTGACGATGATGATAAAAGATTATCAACTGCGAATGATGAGTGCTCAATGCGATTAAGACGATTATTACGAATATCAATTGATCGTAGATGAGATTTGCCACTAAATGTTCCATTTGAAACGACTTGAATCGAGTTATTGCTCACATCAAGTCGTTCGACACTCGACGGAATCTGTTCGGCTGATAGAACCATTATGCGATTGTTTTGAAGCTGAAATACAAATTTATTGTAACTTACTTCTATCAGATAACATCATTTCTGAACAAACCACCAGCAACAGACAGTATGTTAAGTCATTTATTTCTCCCCTCATTTAATTCACTCATCTTGTTTTGTTTATTTCATAATGTATTCGAAAAGATCTATTTAATTAACAATCACCACTCATTACGAGTCAATGCCTCTCTGTTATCACCAGTATCTCTAATATCACATTTTGATATCCTTCTTTCCGCGCAGCTAACGATAATGGTGCTGGGAATCATCTTTCTTCGTGAATTTCTAACTTTGCCACTGATTGTATCTTTCAAAATGATTTTCCAATAAATTTGTTGCTATCGAAGCTTATGCAAAAATATTCCATACCTGAGCGTTCTTAATTCGAGAATTGCTTGCCGATCCAATTAATGCGATACGGTTGTTGGTAATATCCAAGTGAGTGACACCAATTGGGAATTCGTTCCATTGTAATATTTCCACCAAATTTGCACTCACATTCAACCGTTTCAAATTGAGCACCTTCGTGAGTGCACCATTGAAACTCGTCAAAAAATTTGACGATAAATCGATTTGTCGCAATTTTGGGCATTTAACGAATGCATCTTGTGCGAGTTGGTCGATTGAATTATGTGATAACGACAACTCGTTCAAGCGAACCAGATCAGAGAAAACATAGGATTCGATCTATAAATTGTGATGCCATTTCCATCTTTTATGGTGCTACAACGAAAGTCTATCAAAGCCGTGACTATTCGAAAGGATAACGGCTGCTAATTAGCAGCTATGCAAAAATACAGTTTGTTCTTGATGTTTTTCACATCTCTGCTTGTAATACTGATCGTTCAGTTGAGTAATGTAATGTTCATTTTCTTAAATTTGAATTCAATCAATTTTTAATGCAACTTTTTCGCATCCATCTTTATTCTTATCATTGAAATGCGTATAACCGTCTTCGAATTTGAGTGCATCTGATAAAAATAACTCTTTCAATTCATTGGCTCTGTCTATTACGATGGTGTCTCATTAAATTCTTTGCATAGATGCTGAAATAACGTCTACGAATTTTGAAAAAAGATACTTACCGATGCAATTTTATTGTAACTGAGATCGAGTAAATAGAGATGAGGCAATTTGTTGAAGAGAAACTTGTATGTCTTACTGAAAACAGTCAATGATAAGAGTTGTTGTACGAATTTGATGAATTGTGATGATTAAGTTGACCAGTACACGTTTTAGTGCAACGAAAGTAAATGTAAAACGATGCAAACAATGAATGCAACAGTTATTGAGTTCTTGTCATTTTACTTTATCGATGGGTTAAAGAAATGGAAGTAAATGCCGCTATTTTTTGTTATTGAAATGATGCTCTGTACTATGCACCGACTGGAGAAGAGAAATTTTGGGATGTTGTTTAATGTGTACGCTTATTTGTGCGTTACACAGAAGTGGTTTTGATTAATGTGGATTAGCGAACAAGATGGATGAATACTTATCTTGCGTGACTCTCACTACTACATATCTAGTCAATTGATTGATCGATTCCAAATACTCTATATAAGCATCTGTCAGTGCATCGTTATCATCTAACAGTTTCTATTTCTATGTTGCTCATCCTCAAATCGACCGCCTCATGCTGTTCATCGCGTTCAACGTTGATGCACATTTATTTCGAATGCATTGTTCATTTAGCATTGACAGTGTGTCATTAATTTAGCTGGCAATCAATTGTCAGTGTTTCAACGTACCGTGAAATTACAAGTCATCATTATTCAACAAACCTGATTTGATTTCTCGATAAGATCAGTTGTTTCAATTTGAAAAGTCTTCCAATCGCAAGTGGAACCTCCAACAACACATTTCGTGACAGATCAAGTTCTGTCAGCTGCACGATTGGATCAAATGAAGTCACTCCAATTTGAAAAATTGAATTATTTGAGATGTACAATTTTGTTAGTTCTTCGAGGCCTGTGAAGCAATTCTCCATTAGTTCGGAAATGCGATTCGATGTTAAATCGAGCTGAAAATAGCTATAGCTGCAATGAATTTACTTGTCATGTAAATTTATTTGCTCATTGCTTACTTAAATATCATCATCGAATGAATGCTACACAAACTTTTTTTAGCGCATTTCATGAAAAATCTAAATGATTCGCTTGATGATCTAATCAGTAGTGTACGATAACGCAATCATCTGTGAATATTGCCAACCAAAACTGCTCTCTTCATGCGAGAGGTTAATATGAATGAATGCAATCAACATTTGGGTTATTCATCACAGAATCTTTTGACAATCATTAACTGTTTCATATCTGTTTAAGACACTTTCGTTGAATATGTATGTACCTGTGATATTGGAACGCATTATAAAATTACTTCATGATACGGATAGTTCGATAAAAAGTGATTTGGGAGTGAGTGATGACGATTGAAGAAAATGATTTGAAGCAAAAAATGAAACTGACGAATTAATTAATGGATAAAATGCATACTTATGAGAGAGATGGAAAAGTGCGAGCATATTATACGAAAAAGTAGATGGATTACTTCGGTGTTCCCTTTATTCAGTTCATCAGTTTAATAAAAATTTCTCAAATGAGATATATCAGTTTTCGGAGAAATTGATTGTTGATGAAAAAAAGGAGCCGGAAGTATGTGATTTGCCGGATGATTGAATGACCAGTCGAATAGACCACTTTGAGTGCATCTGACAACAGTGATTTCGAGAACAATTATCTTCATCAAGTAGCTTTTTCTTTTCGATTATTTTAACGATCTTATTCTACCATAGTTTTGTTGTATAATATTATCTCGAAATAATTATCTTTGCTGAAATCAGCATCGGAGATGAGTTGCTGGGTGATCTGCTCATATAAGGTTTAATATTAGTTGGCAAGCAACATCTATCATTGAAAAGTTTACAATGTCAAGTACTGCGAATGAGTAGAGATCATCAGATGGATCGACCGGCTGACAGGAAATGTAGTAGTGGAATTGTTGTGTGATTGAGAAGAAATATGAATTATCAGTGGACTATTACAACCTCTCTATCACTGATCAGGTTGTTTTATTATCATGAATATATCGAGAATTGTTATGCTTCATTATTTCTCCAAATTATGACTCTTTATGGTTCTAGAAAACACCATTTTCTTCCACAATATACATTATTGTACTGATATGATTTTACATATTAGTAGTAATCATTTTGTTATCAATATTATTATAATATCAGTAATAGTAATGTAACAGTGCCAATAATAATACTGATAATTTTTGTTATAAAGATAAAATTTTCTATCTAACAGCTATTTTGGTACAGAAACGCGCAAATTATTTGTGACTTATTGAAGTGGTGCAGTTGAATTTTTGTGTGCAAAGAATGTGTTGAGAGGTTCGTCCCCATAAAAGAATTTGAATTTATTGCGAGGAAGGACCTGTTTGAAGAGTTACTGCTGAAAGTGTACAGTCAGATGACTCATACGAAAGACCGAACGTCAGTTTACTTTTGTACTCAATCCATATAAGTACATAGAACAATTATAAAAAATATTATTGTGCAGTATTGCGATACACTTAAGATTTGATTTATTGAATGTCAATCACTATATATGAGAGTGAGTGAGTGAGTGAGTATATTTGCATTTAGTGTCTTATAAAATTTATTGTTTTTTTTTGTTTTGCAATCATCATCAATAGCATAAGGTCATATTTCGAGATTGTTCGACAGTTGATTCGGTTCAATAGTTGTTTTCTTGAATCAAATAAGACAAGCGAATCGATGGAAAAAAGTGTTGCATTGCCGGAAAATTTCATGAAGACAACTGAGAGGATGTACTTTTTTATTGGTTACAACAATATTGTACATTAAAATTCTGGAGTTTTCAAGAAGGAATCAGAATTGAAAGTGTTCATCGATTTTGAGCAATGAGTTTGCATTTATGATCTGCATTTATGATAAATTCGATTAAAGTAAGCTTAAGTCATCGTCGTCGTGTTGAAACGTAACAGTGGGATAGATACCAATAACTATAACTTTAATTAAACGTTGAATGATTTTAAGTTGAATGCACTTACCGTCTGCAGTCGAGTGAAATTGTCGAATGTGTTTGGTGGAATTTGTTCGATGCGATTTGACCGCATATTTAAATGCGTCAAAGAAGGAGCCGAATTGTCAATAAGACTTATAGGAATATTTTCAAATCGATTGAAACTCAAATCAAGTATCTCAAGGCCAGATGCAGCAATTGGAAATGGTGTGCTAGCGTCAATACTGTTCACACTCAAATTCAGTGAGATCAAATTCGGCAAGTTAGCCATAGTGTTCGAAATAATACTGAGCCGGTTATTAGCTGCGTTCAGATCAATGACGCTTTCTGAAATTTGATCACTTTCTTGTTTGATTGATCGATAATTTCTTTGACATATGATGAAAGTATCCGTCACAAATTACAACTGATAGATTGCGGTTTTGATTCAAAGCGAAAAATATGCGATATGGTAGCTTTTAAATGCTATATACCTGGGACGAGAGGCATTTCTTGAATACGATTTGACTCGATATCAAGATGTTGTAAAAGAGTGTTCGCATGAAATGCTTCACGATCAATATGTTCGATTTGATTGTTTGCTAACGATAGTTGTCTTATAGCTGCCAGAGCTGATAAATCCGTTGATCCAATCGATTGGATTCTGTTATTACTTAAATCTAGTATTAATAATTGTCCAACTGAGCATTCCGAGCTTATTCCAATGTTTGCTGAATGTAGCCAATTAGATGAAACATTAATCACCTGAAATTTGCAACAGTCAAAATTTTGTTTTGATGATGAATTGTCAATGGAAGTTTGATACTTTTGAATAAATCAAAGAATGCATTTCATCAGTTAATTTAAAACTGAGAAGAAACGAGAAAAGAGTAAAGCTAATGAATTACTTTGAGTATCAAAGGCAAAAGAGTAATCGAAAAGCACTTTCAGTTCTTCTGCTGAAAACGGCAATATTAACAGTTTGTTGCCATCATTATGAATAATACCTGAAGATTAGGTGTTGCACAGAAAGCGTTGTTTGGAATGTTGCCTAGTTGTGAGTTAGTTATGGCTATTTTTTCCAGTCGATTGAGTTCATTGAAAATTCCTTCAGAAATAGTTAATGGCTGGTCGTTATGTGCCATTTGATCAAGGTAAAGTGATCGAAGATTCACCAGTCCTCGGAAGATACCTTTCGACAAAGAACGCACATCACATTTCTTAAAACTTCGATGTTACATATTCAAATGACATTCATTTAATGGCTGATATGATCCAAATTCGTGGCGCTTCGTAAAATTTATCTACACTGGTTTATAGTCTATAGTTACCTTCTTGAAAAAAGTCATGCTCCACACTGTTTAAGAAACTCTTTTGAACCATTGAATTTTTTCTGATAAAGCCCTCTCAATTAGTCAAGCACCCAGTGCCAAATTTTAAAAAAGAAATCTAAAAGGAATGAATTTCTTTCCGTTTACCTATACCTTTTCCGTTTATTATAATTAGTTCTTAAATTTCGCATGATTCTGATGTTTTTAATGCAGCTTATTAGCGATAACGCGCATATGCTTTTCTTTTGTCCGGTATTCTTGTTGTTTGATTCAACGAATCGTAACTTTAAGCACTGATTGAAGTTTGGAGTACTAGAACATTCAGTGATGATTTCACAACGATAAATTTTTTAATTTGAAAACGATAGAATTGAGAAACGTGAATCAATTCCATAAAACAAAGAGCAAGGACTGGTTGAAGTGTTGCGAATCTGCGAGTGAATATTCTCAACAATGAACGATCACGGTTGAAATGGGAAAGTAAGAAATGAGGTATAGATCGATATGAAGAACGCTTAGTTCTTAAATTGCATCACTTTCATTACAATTCGCAAAATGAAACGATACATTCTTTCATTAGGATGTTCTTATTGCTGCATTATTATCTCATTTCGACGCATACAAATATTGTAACTAGTGATCGTCGGGGAGTAGTTTTTCGGGCAGGGGGTCCCCGTGGGGAGAAAGCTGGACGGGGAGGGGTCCCCGTAAAAAAGTCGGGGAGCGAATTGCGCGGGGGAGGGGAGCGCTTTCCGTGTTCCCCAACGAACACCAATTGTAGCCAGTAATTCACTGATGCAACAATTGGGCATTTTTTGTGTTCTTGTTGTTTTTTTCATTAAAATGATACTGAGCTGTTACTGATATATTTCGGTAGAATAGTATAATATTAGCGCAGTTGTTGTTAGGATTCAAGCTTTGTTCAAGCTTGAATCCAAAATTTTGATTTTTTAGTGCTTGCGTTAATGGGGATTCTTTTGTTGGTTATAGTTAAAATTTAAATTTAAAAAAACAAACACTGAACATTTCACACTACTGAAACGTTTCGAACGCTAGTGGGCTTCTTAATCAGTGCCGAAAGGAATACGCTGTTTTCGTTTGGCTGTTTACTTGGATAAACCCACAGGGTTTTGGGTGATCTTGTCAAATGTGAATAAAGCAAAGCGTGGATTAGAATTGCGTTCGGTAACAAATTTGTCATTAGTGTAATTTATTGTAAGGAAGTAGTAGCGCTGATAGGAGCAGTAGAAGGCATACTTGAATGCGTAAATTTTGAAGAGTTGTGAATGCAGAAAAGATTCCATCGTAAAGCGTTGAGGATTGCTCTGAACTACATTCGACATTCAGCGTTTTTGTGACGTTGTGTGGGAATTGTGCGAATAGGTCAGCATCAGCACTGAACTTGGTCCATTTACAGCTGATCACAAACCGTTGTGATTCAATAGCGTCCGGTACACATAAGCATCTGAAATTCAACAGTGATACTTCGATGCTTATCGCACGTTTCTCATTTCCTCCCTTACTTTGGTTGATTATTTATTGCTTTTCCTTTATTAGGATGATAAGTTGAAGAAGTAGAAACCTATTAGGACAATGGTGAACATGAAAGTCGCCAACAACGTTTGTGATGATCACTGGTGTTGTGAGTAGAAATTTGACTAGTAAAAACAAAGCTTGAATCCATAATCGTTTGATGAGAGCAAATGGAAACGATCCAGAATGTGAAATGCTCGTCATCGTTCAACGATCGATGTAATCAGTCAGTCCATATAAACGACTAACTCACTTCGTCGTTATGCTAATAACCTTTCCATCTTGAACCGCATCTGAACAAAAATTACGCTTTAATAAATGACTTTATGCAATTCCTTTTTCAGTTCTTATTTGCGATACGTTATTATTTTCATTGCGAATCTATTCCTCAAAATTATATCCAATCCTTGTAAACGAATCTATTTTGAAAATTCGCAAACAAGCAACACATTATGAGATGTTACGAGCACTGAGAAGGTAAATTAGTATCGTTTTATTTTCATTGCTTCAAAGTTTTCATTATGTGGCATCTATTGCATTCAACAAGTTCAGTTTAGTTGCACAGCAATTTATGATGATTACAATTTTTTTAAATCAAAAACGTCCAAGTTCGTGACGACCATAGAGCAAATGGTGCACTATCCTTGTCTAGATGCAATTGCTAGGTTGTCTCATCAGTAAAAGCAACTGAATTTTGTAGCTGAATGCATTTTTGAAAGTTCTTTGAAACTTTCAAGAAAGAACACTCGAGTTAGATTTAATTAAACGAAAAGTGAAAATGCGAACGAAAACAGTTAGACGTATAGGAGTTGATGAGATCGAAATATGACTCGAACATTTGGAATTAATCTGAAAGAAGAGGTGAACGATTGTAATGAGCGAGCGAACCAGCCGTAATTTGGGGAATTGATGACATTTCAATGTAAAATGATTGATATAAGTAAGTCAGATATCATATAAATATACATCTATGTCATAATAATTACGTTTTTCAAGCGAACAGCACAACAAAAGAATAGAGAAGAAACGCATGAGATAGGCTGTCGTTAGTAAGACTGTCGCTGTGTGCATCTAGTAGGTATAGATTATTATTGAATATGACAACTGTATATTCAAACGATAGGTCGGTCGTTCGTGAATGGACCATAATCAATCTATGTACGTTATAATGTCGAGGAATACTTATCGTAATTCATGCGCATTATATTATTATTATTATTATTAATAGCACTATTATTATTATTGATATTGTTATTATAATTATTGATGACATCGACAAAATGATGATCTATCTCATTGTGCGGGTTGATAGATTGGTTGGTCGGTGTGCTGAATTCCAGTCGAAACTGGACAACAATATTTGCATACATACACACCTTTGGGAAAACGAGGAAGTTTGATGGCGAAGAAAATGAAGTCTTGTCATACTTCTAATATACGGACATATGGAGTTTGATTTAGGATGAATGCTTTGCATTTTTGAAGTTAAAAGAATGACTGATGCACGTATGTATTAAAATAGTTCATAGCAAATCGCACTGGGATTAGATTTATTATGTAAAATAGAGTTTTGAATGTTTTCTTGTATCGCTGTTCGACAGCATATCACATCACTCATAATTGTGCCGCGCTTTTTTAGCTCGCTGAATTCTGACTGAATGAAACGAGGAATTTTTTACTTATCGTATTGATAACACAATCGGTTTTACTCGATAATTGACGTAAGAATGCATCAGCGAACCGATAACAATCTAAGCAATTCATCAATTGCTTTCTAAAATTTTTTCCATTCCTTAACACACACCGACACACTCACAGCATCATCACTCCTCAGACATGCCATAACCATCACTAACTATCTGACTACCTGCATAAGCGATTTTTTGAGTCTTAAAATTTTGAGTCAGCAAATATAAATCTGAAAGCATTTCCTTCGTTCAATTTGAAATTCAAAAACTGGATTGTGCGTGAAAAAAATTAAATGTTTTTGCAAAACAACGAAAAAAAATCGAACGTTTCCAGTTCAGTGCAAATTGTCAAATTTTATGCGTAGATTTGAAGAAGAGTGATTGGGGAAATGGTCCACTACATAAAGTTTTGCTGCTCTTTTATTTTGCACTGATGATAAGTTCGTTGAGAGAAATCTCTGAAGACAGCTCTACAAGTTGCAGTAAATATGAGCGAACAACAAGATTGAAAGTGATTTGGTGCGATGCGATTTGTGAATGAAAATATATTTCTTGGAGAGAAAAATTTTTTTTGCAAACTCATTAATCTGATCGATTGATTATTTGTGTTGTTTTCTTTTTTGGTTTTTAAATTTTGAACGAGAAAATGATTCAGAGGACTGAGAGAAGAAGAGGACAGAGTGTGTGTGCTGAGTGAGGCATAAATTATTGCTTATTAAAGCGAACCAAACAAGCAATGAACCACATGACAACATATCACAAAAATTATTTTTATGTATTCAAATTGAGTGAATTACGAATATGAAACCGAGAATTTTATTATTACAATATTATTTGCAGTCATAATATTATAGCAGTAATAATAATACTAATAATAATAGTAGTAATAATAATAATAAAAATAATAATAATAATAGTAGTAATGTTGATTTGATACAAAGCAACAGCAACATGTTTATTGCTGTTGAGCATGAGATCAAGCAATAAGTATCACACCGATTTATTAGAATCACTGAACGCAGTCCAAAGTGATGAATAGTCAGCAATTATTAGTTTATATTTTTATAATACGATTGAAACTGGAGTATTTGTTGATATAAACAAATTGCATTGAGTGATAATTGAGTAGATTCAGTGGAATATCATTTGTGGAATTATGTTATCACCGATCAACCGGAAGAGCATCTTCTTCTAGTGGTTTAGTTTATCCGAAAGGAACATCTAAATATGAATGAGAGTATTCGCATCCCGTGAAGGAATGGAATTTTTTAGTTTAAGGAGAAAAGGACTCTGAAAATTAAATGAAGCGTATTGTTTTTGTTGGTGTCGTTGCTAGGAATAAGAATGGTAGCAGCAGTATAGAAACATAAAAAGTAAACATATGGATGGATGATATAAGAGATTTCTGGTTCAGCCTCACCGAATAATGCATCATCAACTCCGAAAATGGCCAATTGTTTTGTAAATAGTTGGGCGTGGTCGTTGGTTGAACGTATTTCGGCAAGTTTTCTCGCCGACCGAACAGAACCGAGATGAGGCCAAATAGGCGGAGCATGGAGAACCGTTAGGTACTAGCAGCAATAGATGTTACTGAACGAAAAGGTGGGAGATTGACGAACGAACGATGGCGATTGTATTATTGAATAGCGATAGAATTGTTGCGTTCGGTAGAGGAGTATTATAGGTGAATGGATTGAAGGTTGCGGGATGAATACGTTTATAGATTGATTTTATTATATTCTATTATTATTTAACCGTGAGGTGAGGTAGGTACGCAACAAAGTGCTAAAGGTCATCGTTTTGTCCTTACTTCTCCACATTTCGTTGCTAATTGCTTAGGGCAACATTCGTAAACTACTGCCCTTCAACTGTGCTCTGTGGTATCTGTTTTGGGTTGAGCCATGCAATAGAACAGATGCATGCAATCTCGTTCTTCAATCATATTAAACTTTGAAGCGATCAGATCAGCTGTTCTCAGAGATTACGATCTAACACCGAAGTATGAATGGACTCACTGACAATCTGATATGTGATCTCACCAACGATAAACGGCAAACGTATTCTACCAATCTATGTGTCTCATAAGCAGATGCGAGCGGACTTGTGTGAAATCTAGATACACGAATATGATAAGAAATTTCGTGTCAAACATTGACATGTTGATAATAGATATGTCGTCGATCAAATTTCAATCCTTGTTGAGCAGGACTGTTCTAGTTGCCTCAGCGTATGATAAAGTGAATTAAGCAAGGATATGTTGTAGTTAATGAAAAAAAGTCAAAATGAACAGCGAAGGAACGAACAAGAGTAATGCGGCAACAAAGTAACTATTCTGCCGTAGTATCAGTTGCTTCATAGACCATTAAATCAGAATCGTTGTTAAAATGCAGTAAAGAACAAAGGCACTTAAAACCACAGTTACCAAACAGTTAGTCGTTTACTCATTTTTATTACTCAGCTATTTCTGTTAATAGTTCTCTTCATTGATGCTCAGATTGTACTTTCCTTATATACGTACGCCTGCAATGTGAAGGTCAAGAATGTTCGTTCCAAAACGTTCTTAACTGTATCGGGAGGTTACAAACTGAAGTATTTCAAGAAAGTGAATTCGATCATTTGGAGAAAGTATGCTTAAAAGGAGTTTGCAAGGTAGTGAATCATTGAGAATTTGATGATTGGTCGAGAATATTGATTCAAAAAAATCTCTATCAAAACAGTAATTGTTCGTGCGGGATTGACAAATAAAATATTATTTTAAAAAGTTCAGGAATTGAAGTTCGAATCGCTTATGCCTAAAATATATTCAGCGAGCTGTAACACGTTTTGGATGAGATCGAGATGGATTTGCTACGACTTGACAGTTGATTAGATAACTGTAACAAAATTTGATTGCTGAACGACAGTATTAAGAACACTCGAATGAGAAATAAATTTTGGGGAAATCATTGTATGAATGTTATTTATGAAAGGAAATTTCTCAGAAGAAAATTATGTTCAAACTGATTACCGATTCTTGCTAGCTGTTGGAAGTATTATTTTAGTGATCAGATTAGAAGCAGTGAACAGAAAAAAAGTTAAGTTAGTGATTTTAAAAAATTTCTTATAATGGAACGAATTAATCTTATGAGTAGGTATGGAAGAGTGGTTTTATATGATGAACAGTGGTGCAATGATATCGATAAATGTATCGCTGTTGAGAGAAGATGCAGATTATTTTAAGGTATGTAAATATGATGATTTTTGTTGAGAGGAAGG